AGGTGTTTCAGAGGCGCCTGGATCTGGCGATGAGTGACAGGGTTTAGTGGTTTAGGGGTTCCTGGGGCAGTGCTGGACTCGGACAGTTGGACTGGATGGAGTCATGGAACGTGCTGAGGTGGGAGGGTCCCCTCGGGACTATTGAGTCCAGGTCGTGATTTTCATGCACCAATAAAGGAACTGAATCTGGATCAAATGATTTGGCTCCAAAAAATCTTCTGCTCCGGATCTTCCCATTTGGATAACCCCGGTACATTTACGTCTTTTTCAAGGACACATCGGCGACGTTCCCACTGTCGCTGTTCAGCAGCTCCACGAGGTGGCGGTCTGTACATAACAAACAACCCAAAATGCAGCTCCCAAGGTGAAAACGTCCTGTCACACAATTCTCAAACGAAACGTGTCAGGACAGAAAGGTGTCAGGACAGAAAGGTATCAAGACAAAAAGTTCTGGAGCTTGGCTTTTCCATTCCCACTGGAGCAAGAGCAGTTCAAACGATAGCACTGTATACTAGGAAAAACAAATTCACCAAGAACAACCAATGTGCCGACCCAGAATTGGTTTCCCTACCCAAGAGAGGAATTACAACCCCACACCTTAAAAGAAATGGGATCCCCACCTCCAAAACAGAAAACATCAGCATCAAGTGCCAGTTGAATGTCTGGGTACCACCATCGAGGGAGAAGCCCCCACCACACTGGTGCTGGCACCAGATGCCCACCAGGGCCACGCGGAGTAAGGCCAGGGTTCCCAGGAGGGTGCAGAAGGACAGGAAGGGCACATCCAGCATGGCCACACTGCGGTGCTGTCAATGGGGATGAGCAAGGTGGCTGCTCTGGCTGTGCCCAGACACCCCCTGGTTATGGGGGCTGTGAGGGGCTGAGAAGCCTATGGGGTCTGTGATGGCCCTTGTGGCTGTGAGGTCTATGGGGTCTGTGGGGTCTATTGGTGCTATGAGGGCAGTGAGGGCTATAGGATCTGAGGTCTATGAGAGGTATGGGGGCTATGAGGGGCATGGTGTCTGTGAGGGATATGGGGTCAGTGAGGTCAGTAAGGGTTAAGGGGTCTATGAGAACAGTGAGGGCAATGCGGTCTGAAAGGGCTTTGGGGTCTGAAAGAGCTTTGGGGTCTGAGAGGCCTATGGAGCCTGTGAGGGCTGTGGAGGCTGTGAGGACTCCATAATTTTCACATGGTCAGGGAATATGTTCTTACACCTTCCACCCTATAACTGATACTGCACAAACTTTGCTTTCAAGACCTCCTTGATAGTAGTTTTCTAATTGCAACAGATGTCAGAGCATTGTTATCCATGATAATTAAAGTGGAGTGGCCATTTTCTATAAGTGAGGCTGTTGTGGTCTGTAGTGGGATGACCTTGGCTGGACACCAGGTACACACCAAAGCCAGTCTGTCACTCCCCTCTGCAACTGGACAGAGGAGAGAAAATTAAATGAAAAGTTCATGAGTTGAGATAAGGACGGTGAGAGATCACATAATGATTACCATTACAAGCAAAACAGACTCAACTGGGGAAATTCTTTAAATCTTTTACTAACAAAATCAGAGTAGGATAACGAGAAGTAAAATATATCTTAAAAACACCTGCCCCCCCAGCAGTGCAGGGAGATGGGGAATGGGGGTTACGGCCAGTTCATCACAAGTTGTTTCTGCCACTACTCAGAGAGAGGAGTCCCTTCCCTCCTCTCCATGGAGTTTCTCCCATGGGCAACAATTCTTCATGAGCTGCTGCAGCATGGGTCATTTTTTCCATGGGGTTCAGTCCTTCAGGCACAGTCTACTCTATCATGGGTCATCCCCCACAAAGTCACTGGCCACAGAAACCAAATACAGGGTCATTTAAAATGAGCTTTGGCCATACCACAACATAATTTAACTGTCACTTTAATAGATGAAACCCACAGCAATCCCTCATGAGTCACATACAGAAATAGCAGTGGCATTGAACACCCTTTCCCTGCCCTCACTTATTCTTTTCCACTGTGATGGGGATGATAAGATGTTGTTGTAAAACTGCCAAGAAACTGAAGGGAAAAGGAATGCCATCCCAGCTCTGAGAGATCTTATGACTGGGAGATGATTGCAGGAGGATGGGGGGAGGGAAGAGGCCCCCGTGAAATTCCTAAGGTCAGCAGCAACATGTTTGTTGGAACTCCTGGTTGTTTTTTTGGTTTGTTTTTTTTTTTTTTATGATCCTGTGAATAAGGGTCTTGTGACCTCCTGGCCTGTGGCTTGGAAATGGGCTGGAGCTGCTGGTGGATGCTCCTGGTCTGACTCCACCTGGCTTTTGGAAACTCCCCTAGCTTGGTCAAGTGCTTGGGATGACCCTGTGTTTTTGGGAGCCAAAATACCCATCAGTGTTCATGAAGTGAGGAGCAAAGCTGGAGTTGTTGCCCTTGTAAGTCAACCCACCCCCCCAAGCATCATTGCAGCACCTTGTCTGAGCACATCTTCTCTCTGCAGCACTTAGGGCAGCTGTTTGGAAAACCACGTATTGTTATACATGGAGAAATTGTTGGGGTTTTGCCCCTTGGTTTGGACAAGGAGGGACTTCTTTCTCAGGAAGAAAATGAGGATGGGAAAGTGAGAGTGTTGGCTGGTTTTGCTGGAGTGGCATTTGCTGTCTTTAGAAGCAACTGAATAGTATCTTCATCCATTGGTTAAACTTGAACTCTGATTATAGATTTACTTCCAGTTATCAGTTAAAACACTGTAAAATGAATGGCTGGAGAAAGTCCAGGCCACATGTCCTATATATCAGTTCACATTTGTCTCACAATCAGTTACCAAGAACTGCAAAGATAAGAACTCATGTGACTACTATTTTTAAGAGAGTAGCCCTGAAGCTAGAAGGCATGTTTCTCTTAAAGAAGATATCCCAGAAATCCATTATTTTATCATCTGGCAATACTGAAAATCAGAAATGGAGCCTGAAATCCATCTATACCTGGTTTCCCAGGAGAGGCTTTGCTTGTGGCATTTCCCTCTCCCATTTTGCCACCAAGGTGCGCAGATCCCCAACTCAACTGGACTCAACACACATTTGAGCCTCCAGCTACCAGGAAACACGTAACTCTGCCTTTATATCCCTGTTCCTGACTTCCACCTCACGCATGTGTGGTCACTGCAGGTGACAAAGTGTTTTTTTGAACACTTCCATGTGATAGTGTCTGTCTGACTGATTCTAGGTGTAGGTTTTTTCTTTTTTCGTGAGTTTGTAAGATTTGGGAGCTTTATTCATGTCTGTATGATGGGGAAGGGAGCTGTGGGCAGGCAGGTTTAAATGTCCTTCTCAAAGCAAAGAATCACTAGAAGCTATGGTGGTTACTGTGTCTGAACTGCTACAAAATCTAACAAACTTCTTTGAAAGAGGAAAAAGAAAAAATGAGGAGAAAAGAAAAGAAGATAAAAGAAACCTCTTTGCTGTTACACACATCAGTAAACTGATGGAGGAGAGTTTCCCTAAAGAGACTCAGTTCCCAGGCCAGTGGAATACCTGGAACTTATTCTGTGGACTTGCACCAGGGACATTTCCCACACAGGGGTTTTCTGGTTAAACCAGCATTTTTTAGGGGTTATTGGCACTGCTGAGCACTTGCATTTTTCATATTTTCATTGCATAGCAGGCCACATCTTTCTGATTTTATGCAACCTCTTCATCCTTTTGGAGAAGAGAAAATACAGATCCGAGCAGCGTTTGAGCTCCTGGCGTGATTGTACTGACTGGCTGGGGAACAGCGGCTCGTTGTGATGTTAATTAGTATCTATTGACCCGCTCCCTGTTGGGATGCAGTGGGGCGCGCAAGGGTTCTCAAACATGAGCTTACATAAGGAGCAGCCCAAGCGATGTCTGGCTCCTGCCAATAAACTAATTGCTTTTGTCGGGACTGTATCTCGGCTGGAAGAGGAGTTGAAATCAATTTCTGGCTTCCAGTGAGGATCATGTGTTCCTGATAACCAGGCTCAGACTCTGCATCTGTAATCATCGCTTTTTCTGCACAAAATTCATCCAAGTTTGGATTCAAAATGCTCTGTTCATAGAGTTTAATCCTTGTTTCAAGTGAGTTACCAGGGTGGATAATTAATTCCATGTACCCCGGGCGAGCAGAGTGGGCGGGAGCAAGGATCTTAGTGCCGGCATGCAGAATAGTTTTCCTCTGTGGTTTGCCCCCTTGGTCCCTGTTTACATTCCTGTCAGGGAGAAAAAGGGTGTGAATTTCATCAATATTTGCTGTCATGAAGAAGAGAAATGGGTTTATTTTAATATCCTGGGTCCTGCTTAGACACAGAGAGCGAGAGAACAGCCCTGGTAGTCAGATTATTGCAATATATATCTCTTTGGCTGTGTGATGTATTTAGCATTTTTCTTAAAATCCTGTTAAACTGTCTTTTCTTGCTCACGGCAAACGAGGGGAGCGCTGTGTCCTAATTAGGCTGTTTGCCACAAGCAAGGCTCAGCTTCCCAAATTGCTGTGAGAGTAACGCCGGAAGCCAGGCTTCGGTGCGGGGTAAAGGCAGATGGATTTAAGTTTTCCTTTCTGGACTGTTAGTGGAGAGAAAATTGGTGTAGTGAGATCAGACACAGAAGAGCGAGCTGGGGAGCAGAGGGTCGTGGTGGGGCGGAATTCCCCGCGATGGAGCCGGTCCCCACGGGTATGCAGGCACAGCTCCTCCCGGAAACGCTCAGCTCCCTCCCAAACCCCGTGGCCTGCCTTCCCCGGGGAGGTGTTCGTTTGAAGGCTTCATTTCACTCGCACACCCTGCATTAAAACAGACAGAGAGTAAACATCTCGTGTAGCCCCAGCCAGGCGGACGAGGTCTGAGCCGTCTGCAGCTCTGGGCAGGACCCTGGGGGAAGGCAGGGCTGCCCGCCCGGGTGGCGGGGAGTCCCCGCAGCCGATAGGCACCGTGCCAGCCCTGCTCGCCGGCCGTCTCCGTGGGCAGGCTCGCCCGGCAGAGCGGCTGCGGCGCTGCCAGAAGCCGGCTGGCCTGCCCGCAGCTCTGCCCCAGCCCCTTTATACGGGGCAGCCGCGGAGGTGGGGCTGAGCTCTTCCCGCTCCGTCAGCATCCCAGGGTGCGGGACAGCCAGCGCGCAGGGTAGCGAGTAACGGGATCAGTTTCGAGATGGGGAGGAAGCTGGACCTCTCCAAGCTAACCGACGAAGAAGCCAAACATGTTTGGGAAGTCGTTCAACGGGACTTTGATCTGCGGAAAAAGGAGGAGGAACGGCTGGAGTGAGTATCGGCGCTCTGCTCCTTGCAGTCCCGGGCCAGCCGCGGGTCCCCGTGCTGCGTGCGAGCTGCGGAGATAAAGCAACGTACCGAGGCTGTGGGCGAGGAAAAACAGCCGGTACCTGACTGTGCAAGTCAAACACGGTTGATAGATTGCGTTATCAGCGGCAAGGTGACGCGTTCGGGTGGTAAAGGTGCGAACTGGCACCGCGCCATCGGCGGCGATGCGGATCGGTGACGCCGCGGCAGTTTGTGGGGACAAACACCAGGAAATGCCTTTACGGGGCTTGAGGCTGGCGGGCGTCTCGAGGGGAGACCTTATCGTGCAGCAGAGGATGGGATTTGACTCCCCTGCTTTTGCTCCACGTGATAGGTCTTGTGCGTTTAGGGCAGGAGGGGTGTTCAGTGAGTCCTGGGTGACAACAGGCGCTTGAAGGATCCTGGAAAAATAACTGGGAAGAGTAGTAATCCTACTGTATGATATACAGGGGGCTGTGCCATCCCAAAAAAGTTTTAGGGGCCCACAGATTGGGAAAAGATTGCAAATCACAGGAACGGCAAATTCCAAGAACTTCTAAGTTCTTATAAACAGGGCATTTGACCAGAAGTGCTGTTTAAAAAACGTTCTGTCAGATGAGATTAAATTCTGAGCATGAGAAATTGTGGGGGTTTAGGTCTTGTTCATTAGCTATGTCAGGCACTGAACCTAACAGTGTCTTAATACATTTCAAGAAGCTGCAGTGACCCTCTTCAGGGTCTGCCCACGTTCTTATTATTTTCCCAAGGGAATGATCCACACTCCCAGGCTGGGTTTGGGCAGTGCTGCCCTCCCACTGAGCCCTTGGATGCTCCTAGCCCTGAATTTTTTGAGCCAGGGCTGATGCTGGTACCATGACAATGCCTGGGGACCAGGAGCTCATTAGTTCCCCTGTCAGATCCAAAGGGAAAGGTGAGGAATCGTCCTTCTTCATTTGGGACATCTGCATCCCCCAAAAGCTTGCTGTCCCACGAGCCTCTCCATTTACACCATTAGCCAACGAGAAGCTCTCAGTCATATATTTTTCAATGCCCTGATTACTTTTTTTGTATAAAAAACCCCAGCCTGCGTGGGAGGTAGAGATAATTCAGTATCATCATCTACTGCCTTCCTCTGCTGGTAGCTCTGAAATGCAGGAAGCTGATTAGACAGGGGTATTTAAAAAAATTATCATCCTGGAAAGGGTGAATGTCTCCCTTGTGATGGATCTGAGCTCTGCCTTGAGGGAGGAGGTGGGGACCCATATTGCTGTGCCCTACAACAAAGAATTGGGTGAGGTGAATTCCTTCCCTACTTGACCTTGGCGCCAGACTGGTTCATATGGGTCCTCTCTGAGGCCCAGGAAGCTTCCAAATGGAATGTCTCGCTATGGGAGATGTAAGATGGGGGAAGATCTCAGGTCTCAGAATGCTTCTACTCGGCTGTCCTCCTAAGTGTCATTTCCTCTGTTTATTTTTATTTTCCTGTTTAATCCTACCCTGTAGAGGGCTGGCATTAACTGCTCTGAATTATAGAAATTTCTCTAATTGCTGAAAAATTTCTACCATAGACCAGACTATCAGACTGGGAAAGTTTGCCACATTCCTGCATGCTGGGCACGGAGTTATAGGAGCATTTTCTGCCTGTAACAAGCTGGGACATGATGTGACACTCTGGGAGACCCTGTATCCATTCACCCTTCTCTCTGTGCTCTGACCAGCCCCATTTGCTTTTCTATTCATTTGCTTTTCTATTCACTGGACTTGTCTCAACCTGCAAGCCTCAAAGAAATGTCTTCCCCTGCCCAACCTTCCCCCCTCCCTGCCCAGTTTGACCTTTTTCTTTCCTTTCTGCTGCTTCTCTGTTTTTTGTTTTTGGCAGAAGGTACTCACCAACAGTGGACAAAGGCTTCTGCTGGCCAGAAACTGCACAGGCATGTGAGGGTAGAGCTTTGCCCAAAAAAATTAAACAATGGCCATTTTGTGGGGGCTCTGCCTAATTCTTTCCATGAACATCCCTTCCCACAACCCTGTTTTTGGGGGATGGCTCCCTGTGTCTCTCCTGGAGCTCAGTGGGACCAACCCTGCTGCAGTTGGCATCCCGTTGCCATGGATTTATTTATTCTGCCGTGAGCAGAACCATGGCTGGCCTGTGCTCCTGCCAGCAAGAGGAGATGAGAGGCATGCAGTTCCTGAGGCTTTTAAACTGGTTTGGCCCAGACTTGTCCTTCCTTTGGCAGGTCTGGTGGGTGAGGGAGGAGAGGTGTAGGGATCCAACCAGTCTCTGGGAACCAGAAAAAGCAGTTCCAGCAAAAGACTGGATCCTGCTGGCAACAGCCTTAGCACGAGAGTGGAAAAGGAGCAGTGAGTCCAACTCAAGGGTTTTCTATTTGCACGTTTGGTTTTCGTAGCCACGTTTAACTTTACTGCTGGACATTTGCACCGGCTCGTTCAAAACACTGTAAGGATGGTGAATGGCTGATTATAAAAACCCACATGCCCAGTTAAGTCTTTTTACTGTTTTTTACATCTCCCAGATCCTCTGTTAATGCAAGTTGGTGTCACTGCTGTGTGACAGCGAACACAACCTGGTGTGCTGGCAGTAAGCTGGCCAGAAAAGTCTTCCTTGGAAAACAAAAGAAGAGCTGCTCCCTAATGTACAAACTGATTTGGTTAAACAGAGATTAGCTTGACTGACATGCCTGTCATTCCCAGTGCCAGTCACACCCCTGCTCCCGCGGCCAGCAAGGCTCCTGCTGTGGTCACCCCAGTGTCAGTCCAGCAGCCAGCACGGGGAGTATCACCAGAGCCTCGTGGTTCACATTGTGATCATGAAGCATCCTCCCAGGCCTGATGGCTTGAGGTTTTTGGCCAAATCTGGTTTCTGCTCTGGAAAATACAGCTTCCTGATCCTGCCTAGAGAGAAAACAACCTTCTAGAACCTTTCCTACAAGACAAACATTTTCCTCTCAGCCGTGGCCCCAAAGGCAAACATACCTGAGGTGGTGCATGGTGAGGGGAGCAAACAGAAAGCCTTTGGGCAGCAGAGTGGGCCCCCAGCAGCTTGGCAGGCATTTCTGGCCTGGGCTGTTGCTGGGGGTTCAGCCTCATGCAGGCACTGTCTCGCATGGAGACCTGCTTTAGCAGCCAGGTTCAGATAACAAAGGAAGCCTGCAGTGATGGATTGCCAGGAGAAGGTGCTCTTGGAAAATGCTTATCTTGGACAGCCTTTCACAGGACTGTCACAAGCAACTCCTCCTGCTGCGTCCTCTGAACAGACAGAACCTCATTGCATATCACTTAATAAAATCCTCTGCTGAATTTAGCACTGAAGAACTATATCAAAACCCCTTTTAATCCTTTTTAATCCCAGAATTCTTTTTTTTTTTTAATTTAAACTGATAATTCCAGAAAGATTTTAATTCCCTGCTGGACTCCAGACCCAAAGATTGTATCAAGTTGGGGTGCAGCCAGAGTGTTCGAGAAGATCCACTCTCCTGAGATTTCTGGGATTTACGATCCACACCCTGTGAAACAAACAGGACAGGTTTTGGCTCAAACAAATCTAATATTAAACTTAACAGTGGCAAATCCTAATGTATCTGATGATACCTGCCCTGAACCTGGAGCCCACTTCTTTGTTCAGCTTATTTAACTCGTGATGTTATTTATTAGATTTGCCCTACAGCTGTTTCCACAAGCTGCAGGACTCGGAATGTTCCCTGGAAAATCGTTTCTGAAATGATTGAGGCATAACAGGGTTTGCCATGTGAGACTTTGCAGTGAGATGATAATATAAACTTTTCCTGTGTTTTGGGGTGTTTTCTGCAGGGAGTTGAAATGCAAGATTGACCAGGAGAGCAGCAAGAGAGAGTTCTTGACAAATCAGTCCCACCTCAATGAAACTCACTGTGTCCACTGCCTCCAGCCCTTCAAGTTCCTGCTGAACAGCAAGAGGCAGTGCTTGGACTGCCACTTCTACACCTGCAAGAACTGCAGCCGCTACAACAAGAAGGAGCAGGGCTGGGTCTGCGATCCCTGCCGCCTCTCCAGGTGCTGCTCCTCCTGAAATCATGGAATGGTTTGGGTTGGAAGGGACTTTAAAGACCAACTAGTTCTGCCCCCCTGCCATGGGCAGGGACACCTTCCACTGTCCCATATTGCTCCAAGCCCCGTCCAACCTGGCCTTGGACACTACCAGGGATGGGGCAAGCACAGCTTCTCTGGGCAACCTCTGGGGGCCTCACCACCCTCATAGGGAAGAGTTTCTTCCTACTATCCCACCTAACCCTACCCTCTGGCAGTGGGAAGCCATTCCCTCTTGTCCTGTCACTCCTGGCCCTTGTCCGAAGTCCCTCTCCAGCTCTCCTGGGAGCTCCTTTAGGTACTGGAAGATGCTCTAAGATCTCTCTGGCACCTTCTCTCCTCCAAACTGAACAGCCCCAGCTCTCTCAGCCTGCCTCCATAGGAGAGATGTTCCAGCCTGTATTTGTGCTTGGGATTGCCCCAGTCCAGGTGCAGGATCTTGCACTTGACCTTGTTGATCTTGCTGAAGTCAACACCAGGCTGTCCAGCATGTCCACTGCACCACACAGCTTGGTGTCCTCAGCAGACTGAGGGTACACTCAATCCCACTGTCCATGTCACCGATATACATGTTAGACAGTGCCACTCCCAATATCAACCCCTGAGGAATTCCACTCGTCACCGGCCTGCTGTGGTGGAGGCTGTGAGGGACAAGGCGAGACTCAGGGATGGGGCTCAACAAGAGTTGCCCAAATTCAGCATCCTTTTATGCTGGTTAGAAAACACTCTGTGTTTTTGCTAAGAGGCAGTTTCTGGGTGAGGGTCTGCTCACTGTGGGTGTGGCTGGACTGGCTCATGTATGCTCATCCTCTCTTTGGGCAGGATCGTGAAGGTCGGGTCCCTGGAGTGGTACTATGAACACATGCGGTCCCGTTTCAAGAGGTTTGGAAGTGCCAAAGTGCTGCAGTCCCTCTATGGCAGGCTGCAGGCAGGGCAGGGGCTCAACTCTGCGTTTCTAGGTGAGGAGGGGCACTGGGGTTTACCCCACCCTGCTGCCCATGGAGCATCTGTGCAGCACCACATTGGGATGCACCAAGGGAGGAGCATCAGTGGGGACACTGCTCTGAGGGCCACAGGGTATCAGGGCTGTTCAAAACAAGCTGGGGAGGAAGCAGAGCTTCAGACTTGTACATTCACACGCAGAGCAGATGTTTTTCAGTCTTAAGTTTTTACCACAGACTTGAGAATATAGGATCACTAAGGTTGGAAAAGACCTCTAGATCATCCCAACCATTAACCCGGCACTGACAAGCCCGCCACTAAACCATGTCCCCAAGTGCCACATGTATATGTTTTTTGAACACTTCCAAAGATAGTGATTCCACCACTTCCCTGGGCAGCCTGTTCCAGTGTTTGACTACGTTTTCAATAAAAAAAAGTTCCTAATACTCATGTTTATTTTTAAAAGTCCCATGTCCTGCAGTTCACAGCTCTTGTTTTTCTTTATTTTTGCTCTTAGTTTATGAAATTAACACTAGTTTAACTGCAGGATAAAGCTAGCACCCAGTTATTTTCCCCATGATCTAATGATTTTTACAGCCTATCTGATGATCCCCTGGCAGTGACAAAACTTATAAAAATGAATGAGTTACCTGCCATCAGTATTTCTGATATTGGTCCAACAGTGCATAAATGTATGATGAAGTTAATACAGAATTATTTACTGACCAGCTGCTAGTTGCCATACATACAGTTCCTGCACTCCTTTGTTTATAGCCTTTGTAAGCCAGAGTGGATTTTATTCCCATCTTGAGAAGCCACAGAAAAGTTTGCACAAATACCATTTACATACTCGATTCAATCGGTCTTTTATCCAGACCACTCTCAGCAGAAATAGCAGAAAAAACATGGAGGGTCGTGGCATGGAATATAAAATTAATGGACTGAGAGACAGTTCATGCAGCATTTGATAAAAAAATGCATCAGACCACAAAAAAGGACAATCCGAGAGAAAACTAGAGCAAGCATGAGATTAACAGTGTTTTAGGCCACTTTAAATTGAGATTATGGTGCCTTTCTGAAAAATAAATTATTTTGTTGTTTATTACTTCATGAATACCAGTGAACTGGAAGTAAGTGGGGCAATCAGCTCTTTGACTTTTAAAAGTCAAGCCCTGTCTCCAAATGCCTGTTTTGTTCTCTCTAAATCATGTTTTTTATGATTGTTTCTTGTGATGGCTAGAGAATGAGAAGTCCAGTTATCCATGGCTCTGAGGCTTGTTCTCTACCTGAGAAAATGTGATTATTTATTTTTATTTTATCTTTTCATTTAGGTCTTCATGACAGAGTTTACAGCCTGCCAGACATTAACAGTAAGTAAAGAACAGAACTGCAGCATGAGGGTGGCAGCTCAAGCAAGGTTTCCAGTGTCTTTCTTTTTCTCTTCACATTCCCTGGCTATGGGCACTCTGGAGAAATTTGTGTGGCCGGACCAGGGAGAACATTCTTCCTTTGCAATGGACTGAAGTAGTCAACTCTTGCACTGTGGTACATCTGGGATGTCCAAGGCTAGACTAGGATACAACAGGACTTTTAGTTACATGCCAAACTCAAAGTTTGCAAGCACTCATCATCTCAATGTACGCCTATGTCGTACACTTGAAGCTGCCCACATTCTTAAGGAATCCACGGAATTTGGGATTTCATGTTGTGTTCCTTAGGAGCCCTGGCAGGAAAGATTCACTGCACCTTGCCATTTGATGTAGGAAACAGTTTTTTGCCTACCTTGACTTTGGACTTGGTCTGGCATTTGGGCTGTTCACAATGTGCTGCTGGGCTTGGCAGTGACCTGGGTATGGAGATGGGCATCCAGAAAGCAATGGGTCACTGATAAATAACAGAGCTGGCTGATGGGAATCAGAAACAGCAGAAGCAGAGACATGTTGGGCTGAGCCTTCGAACACTGGAGTCACCAGGGTGGACCTCAGGGTGCTCCCTGTGGTGCAGGTGCCCTTCATCTTCCTGAAGGTACACCTTCGCTTCCACATCTTTGATGGTGCACATCTGAAAGGGAAATCAACGAAAGACCAACCAAGCTTTTCAAGACCAAGTGCTAAGAGTGGGTTTCTGCAAAAAAAAAAAAAAAAAGTGGGGAGGTCTTTCTAACCTGGACCTTTTGAGCCCATATAACAAGCATGGCCTCACCTGCAGGTACATTGGTGTGACCACCACGGTGGGGACTTACCTGCTGCTGTTGTCTCCCCTCCAGGTGAGTGCCAGCTGCTCACCAGCTGTGACGCTGGGGACGACAGTGATGAGGAAGACAATGTCCTTCGTGGAGCTGAAGCGGAGCGCTACAGCAGAGTAAGTGTTTCATTCTGGAGCTCTACTGCCTCTCTCTGTGTCCTTGGCCTGCCTTGGTGGTGTGGTGGTGGTGGCAGCACTGGTGGTGGTTTTCTGCGCCACTTTCAAAACTGGACCTTTATCTCTGTTTTCCTTCCCTGAGACAAGGTCTTTTCCCAGTTTGTGTAAAAGTAACCATGTCAGTAACATCACAAATACTTGTGCTCTGGAAAAAAAAGATGCACTTCTAACACTAAGGACGTCCCCAATTAGTATAAAATTCCTAGCTCCTCTATAATGAGACTCATCTGTTTTCTTTACTGATGACCTCCCAAGTATCCAGAGAAATCTGCCTGGACCATCCTTTCTCTGAAGTTTGGGAAATGCTTCCGGACTGAAAAGCATCACCTCACTCTCTCTCTCTCAGCTGTAACCTGGCTCAGCTTTCCCATATTGCCTTTATAAACCAGCACAGAGATTCTCACTGTCTGCTTATGGCAACAGCCCTGAACCAGAGGCTGTGGAGATCAGGAACCCACTTTTCCTTGCCTTCAACGTAAACATATGCTGTACCTGGCTCTCTTCAAGCAGGACAGTGTCAGACCCAAATTCTCGCTGCAAAATCAGAGCAAACTCAGGCAAACTAAGGAGACAAGGGCCCTCCCTCCCTGTTTCCTCAAGGTCAACTGTGGTTTATGCTGAATTTTCCTTTCTTGTGCTTTCTATGCTAAGATGTGCAAGACAAAGCGCCTGCTGTCTGTCCATCCCTTTGACTTTGAACTGGACTCGGATTACTCTGCTCAGTCTCGCCATCAGTCTGTGCAGCTCTCGCCGGCAGCCAGCAGCCTGGATGCTTTCCAGGTACTGGGAGAGTGCGGGGGGGTTCCTTTCCTTTCTTCTTCCTACTCCTTGCTACCTCTACTACCCCTTCCTCCAGCTCTCAAAATCCCCTTCAGCTGGTGTTGGGAGGCAGTGGTGCTAATCTCCGCTCCCCATCTCCCTCTTCCTATCTCTTCCTCCGTGTGAAGTCCTTTGCCTCAGGCTAAGTCAGGAGTAGGGCATCTGATCCAAACAAGGATGAGTGGTAAGATGAGACAGCAAGAGGTTCTCAGGCCTTTTCCCTGCAGATTTCCTTTCTTTCTGCAGACAACAGTTTTCTTGTGTTTTCCCAAGATTATGGGACATCCTAGTTTCCAGCGAGCCCTTGAAGGTTCAGTGCTCAAGGGATTAAATGAAATCAGACTCTTCTCCCATATTCCCATCCAGTTTGGGGCTGGTTTTGCCATGTTGTGGCACTGGGGACATAGTTGGCCAGCAGCTTCTTGAGGCACAGAAACTTTGTGAGGTTGAGGTGGATCCCACAGAGCCACATGATGGCAGGGAGTGAGGGCCTGCCAGAGGGAAAAACATGGGGAGAACAAAAACTGCAAGAATGTTGGTTCCTTCCATATAAGAGTCTAGATGTGCCTTAGTGTCCGGAGTTCCTGACCAGGAACAAGACTCACAGACAGCTCCAGACCTAGGAACTGCAGTGAGCTGCACCCTGTGATCCCACTGAGGGCTGGGGGTCAGCCATCCCTACCTTCCAGGTCTGGGGAGAAACACAGATGGGGCAGCTCTGGATGTGGCAAAAGGTCTTCCAGCCTGGGAGGCTTCCAGTCAAGATTTTTGGGCTGCTCCTCTTTGTGTTTCTTGTTGAAATTGTACTTTAAAAACACTAAACAGCTACTTCTTCTAATGATACTGTGATGCTAATGATACCACTTCCCTCGTGGGTACAAGTGGAATTTGCTGAGATCTGTAACAAAGGTTTAGAAAACGTAAGTCTGCACAATTCCACATAAATTGATTTGAACTTGGCAAAAATGAGTAGATTCCTCCTTTTTTATCTGAAACCATCTTTATGAAGCAGAATGTTGAGATCATCCAAATTGGATTCACTGACTGCAGATCATTTGAGGTGGTAGTTGTTTGAAGAAGAGGAAGGGAATGCTGTTTTAAAAGATCAGAGGGTTTTGCAGTCTGCCTAAAGGGACTCTGTGCTTGTAAAAATTAACAGTGCTTGCAAAAATTACCAGTGCCCCCTGGCCGTGGTGGGAAGTATTGCTCAGGGTTCAGCAGCCAGGCAGTCTTTAAATTGGATTGTTAGGAATTCTTATATTTTATACAAATATAATTGACATTATAAAAGATCAATCCATGCATATAATGAAGGATAAAGAGAGAAGATGTTACTGAAGGTCAGGAGAGACAAGGAGTCATAGAATGATAGAACAGTTTGTATTTGAGGGACCTTAAAGCTCATCTAGTTCCACCCCCCTGCCATGGTCAGGAACATCTCCCACTAGACCAGGTTGCTCCAAGCCCTGTACAACCTGTCCTTGAACACTTCCAGGGATGAGGCAGCCAGAGATTCTCTGAGCAATCTGTGCCAGGGCCTCACCACCCTCACAGGGAAGAGTTTTTTCCCAATATCCCATCTAACCCTGCCTTCTGGCAGTGGGAAGCCATTCCCCCTTTTCCTGTCCCTCCAGGCTCTTGTCCAAAGTCCCTCTCCAGCTCTCCTGGAACCCCTTTAGGCACTAGAAGGGGCTCTAAGGTCTCCCTGGAGCCTTCTCTTCTCCAGGCTAAACACCCCCAGCATTGCCAGCCTGGCTCCAGAGCAGAGGGGCTCCAGAACTTGGAGCATCTCTGTGGTCTCCTCTGGGTTCATGTGTCCTCCTCCAGCAACTCCATGTCCTTCTGGTGTTGGGGGCCCCAGAGCACTGCAGGTGAGATCTCTCAAGAGGAGTCTTCCCAGGCAGTAGCTCAAGCAGCATCCTCATCTCTCAGTCCTTCACAGACTTCGCCAACTCAGCCGAAGGTGCCTCCCAGGAATCCAGGGTCGCGAATGCAGATCTAGTCTTCCATCATGTCCTGCAGGAGCAGGGACCAGGCATGAGCCCTCCGGAGCAGCACTTCAGCACACAGGTTCAGCTCACCCTCAATTCACGGAGAAGGAGCCTGGAAAGAAATCCAAAGCCTGGTAGGTGTCTCTGTCCAGGCTCCTCTTGAATCCTTTTGGGACAACTGGCTGCAAGAGTTGGACCAAATGAAAATTTTTTTTTTTCTGAACAACCTCAAAGACACTTTTTGTTTTGAGGGTCATGACAAAATATCCCTCTGCAAAAGTGATTTTTCTCATGAAACAGTGTACTCATGTTAGTTGTAAAGAGCTGGTCTTGTTCCCAAGAAACCAAGGGGTTGTTCTTAGCATGTCGATCCCTTTCACACCTACTGGTCTTTTCCAGAGGGGAAACTAGATACAAACAAATGGACACTACTAGAAACAATAGGATGTGTTTCTTGCTGCAGGCAGAGGTAGAGGAGTTCAACATCTTGGCAAAAAATCTTGTGGGTGCAGAAAGTTTTAAGGAGACTTGGACTAGAATTGGCGGCAGGAACTGGGGAGTACTAAGTAACATCTTTTTAGCTGGCCAGAGTGCATGTGTAGGCCAAGTGATCTGTGGTTTTGTGAGTCTATAAATACCCTGTAAGAGGCAGAATTTGCCTTTTACTACTTCTGTTTTCCCTGCAGTGATAGCAGAGCCAGGAGGGTTGGATAATGGTTAGTGCCCATGCAGATGTAGAATGTGCCCTTTTGTGTAGTCTCCAGCAGCTGGGCTGTGTTTTCAGGGCATTAAGGAACACTGGGTAGATCCTACCCTCTACTGTTTAAATTCCTACTCCAAGTCCTGCTGGAAAAACATAGTAACAGTCTCCTCTGGCTTGTTAATTCCACTTTCTGTCACTGTTTTTGTCTCCTTTGTGGAGGAGCCCTTCCACTCCTTTTAAATGCTCCTCCCTAAAGTGGTACCTCTCTAGCCTGAGCCTAAACATCTTCCAGCAGCTCACGAAGGGCAGTGTCCCAGCTTGGGCTCCCACGAAATTGGGAAGGCAATAGTGGTTTTTGGTGAGGGTCCTGGCTGTTCAGGGCATGGGAGCAGTGATGATGCTCCTTGTGCCTAACACTGTCTCAGCAGGGTGTGGGGCCCTGCTGAGCCTGGAGTTGTGCAACCACAGTATGTGGAGCTGCAGCCTGGTCCATTGTAGCCATCTGGAAACTTGGACTCCCTTGCAGAAGCATCTCCTGACAAAGAATAGAAGTGTGATCTGGAGAAGGGCCTCCATATTTGCTTGTCTTAAGGTGGTGGGGGAGGGGGCAGGCAATGTCCAAGGGTGTGAATCTCTTGTACCTTTGTGCTGAAGCTTTCTCTGTCCAAAGGTGGCCCCTGGAACGAGCCGTCCCAGTCCCGGTACTCCGCAGACATGGACACCTCCGATGAGGATGTGAAGGGAGCCCAGTTCCCTGCCTACCCACCCCACCACGTAAAACGCCGGAACAGAGCCTCCTCCCAGGAGAACACCAGCCACTCTGACAATCAGGTACCAAACAGCTTTTGAACCTCTTGTGAGACCAAGTCTTGTGGCCAAGTGCCTCTTGTTACCCTGAAGTGCAGGGTGGTTCACAGGAGAAGAGAAGTAGCAGTGGCAAACTGGGGTGCAACCACAGCAGTCTCCTGGACAGGATGGATGTGGAGCATGAGCGGAAAAGCTGGTGTGCCCTAAGTATCCTCACAACTCCTGCCCCTTCTGTGCAGGGTGGCTTGGTGCCCTTGTTTCCAACCTGTGGGTCCAGAGGAGCAGACCTCTGTAGGCTTGAGATATCTCCTCCAGTTCAGCTCAGGAAGTGTAGCCACTTGACACTGACAGAACGATACAGAGGGGCTGCGGGATGACCTAGAAACTGGCTCATTGAGGTGTCACATCACAATTTTGTTGCACCAGCGAGATGAATGCCCAGGACATTTCCTGCCTTCTGTGTTGTGATGGACTTGCCAAGGTGGCTGTGAAATGGAAGCAGGACTGAGACCTGGGAAGGTGCATTCAAGCCTCCTTCCTTCATTAAGATGAAGGAGAACAGACATTTCACTGCCATTTTAGGATGATGTAGAAGTATGCTGGAACTCTGTGCTTCCTCTCCCAGGTCCTCCTTCCCACTCTCCCACTTTTTTGGTCACAGCAAAGAGAAAATTTGGCACTGATTGGTGCTTCCCTCTGTCCATGCTGCCAGCGCAGTAACAAACCTGCCTTCGTTGCTGTTCATTTTCCAGTTTGTCCTTATTAATATGCGAGTTGCCTGTGTTTTTCTGTGTCCCCAAGAAGGCTTTCTTCAATTGAATGTGCCAGTGCTTTATGATCAGATAGAGGTTTGGAGGGGGTTATTTAATAAGCACCAAGATCCTTCTCTTCCTTCTCAGTGTGTTCCTGCCCCAGCAGGACTGGGTCAGGACAACCTGTCATGTCCCTCTCCTGAATGATTGCAATAGGGGGAACAGCCTAAAGAAGGTGTCAAACAGGCTGTGAGCTTGTGTTTTAATTGCCAAGCAAGGACCTGCTGTTCTTGATGCTGCCTTTGCCAATGGGTGGTGGTGAACGTTCCTCAGATCTCACGAGCAGCAAAATTCAGGGTGGTGTTTGGCTACAGATGCACAGGGAAAGCCACTCTCACAGTTGGTAATTTTGCGTGTCCTGGACCCCTCTTTGGGTAACCACTGGGGGGATCTGTGGCCCCAACCATCCCTCAGCACCACACTTCATGTGCCTGTGTAGGAAATCTTTCCTTGCTTTTTTACTTCTCTGGGTACGTGCTTTAATTAGTAAATGCCATTCCTTTTTCAGTCAGCAGTAAATAGGAGAACCCTGGACTGGGTGTCCTTAATGAGGCCACGGTACGTTAGGCATGAAATGTGCACCAGGCTTTGCAGGGGGGAAATGGGGTCGAATTCCTACCACTGGTTCAGTTGACGTCCTCCAGGAGCTGGGCAAGCTCTCCCTTCAGGGCGGTCTGGCCTGTTGTGGTTTGCTCTGTCACACCAGTATGAAGGCTGGTGTGGAGCCTTGTCACCCTAATGGTTACTAGAATTCTTCTCACTCCCAATTTAACCCCATTTGCTCTTATGCCAGCGTTGTTCATTAGCTTAAACAGCTCCTCATCCTCCCTGCCCTTTGTGCTGCTGATGTGTTTACAGCTAGCAACCATCCTCCCACCCATCCTGCTTCTCTCCCAGCAGGAAGAGACCAGGCTCTGTGCTGGACCATTAACTTCACAATGATGCTCACATATCACTTTGGGCCAAGGAGAGGCCAGGTACAAGCCCAAAGAAGACAGAAGGCACAAACCCCTAGGTTTGGGTGTTAGACAGCTCTGTTCTATTGGCAGAGCTGGAAGAGGTTGGGAAAAGGTGTCCACCCCCTTGTGCTGACATTGGAGCGGTGAAGCGGTGGCTGAGGAGTTGCTTACAGGCACTTCCAGGGTATGTCAGGTACCCATCACCAGAGCTTCTCGGGTAACCCAGGTCCTGATGGGACATCCAGGGAACAGGGAGGATGGCTGAGTATAGCTGGTCCCCCCGGTGCTGCAGCTCGCAGAGGCTGTGCCCTTTGCGGGTGTACAGTCCAGAGTCATGTTTGTTAACCCTCTTTCATCCCATAGCCTGGCTTTAAATGCTGTGTTTTCCTGCTAGATACCTTCTTGGCATCTGAAGGGTTCAAAAGCCGGAGAGCTCAGCTCTTTGACCGTACAGAATGAAAACTCTCTTTTCCTAAAACTACCTTAAGGGCAAGTTTGTCAAAATATGGTTGATCTGAAAAGCACTTTTGCATTAATTCTGGAGAGGATACACTGTTCAGTCCCAAACACAAGAAACTTAACTTTTCCAGTAACAAAGGGCAGAGTCTGTTCCCTAGACCTGTGACTTCAGGAACTGAAGATCCTAGAAAAAAACTTAGAAAAAAACCCCCAAAACCTACTTAGAAAAGCTCTTAAGCCTGATGAGACATGAAAAGGATCTCTGAGTTGGTAACGGTGCAGGTCTTTGCCTTTATGTTTTCAGAAGACAGGACCAATTCACAAAGAATAGCTGCAATTTACCAAGTTTCTCCCCAAAAGCCATCCTGTTGTACTTCAAGGTTCTGGATTTCCAGAGATTTGATGCTATCTGGCTCCTCTTTACACAGAGCTTCTGTTAGAGGTCTTGGGTATTTGAGAGACTGGAAGCAGCACCTCTGCAAGAGTAACCTGTCCTCTTTCTCCAGCAGTAAGGGATTGTTTCCCCTGCCTGATGTTTCAGGTTTCTGTTTCTCTCTAGTTTCAGGTTATTAAGCAGAAATTTCCTGATGTCCACCTTATTAGCTGTGGTTTAAGTTTATTCACATTAAATGTTTTAATACAGAGCAGTTTGCCAGCCTTTGTCATACAGAGAGCAGTGCAGGATGATGCAGTCCATGATGAGGACCAGTCCTAATGGGTTCCCACCCTCCATTAAAGCCAGCTTTGATTGGGAAGGAGAATAAAGGCAAGCTCTTCAGCTCCTGCCCTGGTAGATATCCATCAACATCAACAGTAGTCCCTGCATTATGCTCTGATCTCTCCCAACCTCTGCCTCATGGAGACAGGGCAGTGCTGGTGCTCAGTTTGTCACCATCTCTGAGGCTGATGGACCATCACAGGCTTCTCATTGTCACTGGGAGCAACGCAGGAGTCAGGGCCTAAAGCAGTCCTGAGAAACCACTTAGCAAGGGAGTGAATTGTTTCCTGCCCCTCGGAGATGCTTTCAGTTCAGGGTGGTAATGACAGTGCTCTGCTCTCCACAGTGCCAGGCTTTTGTATTCATCTTCCCTAAAGCAGAATCTATCACTCCAAGCTGTTGTGAAGATCTAATTAATAAAAACACTAACAAGCACAAAAACTAAGAAAGAGGTAGGAAATGTTATTAAAAAAAAAAAAAAAAAGCTCTCGCATCTCTTTGTTACTACGTTTATTTACTGCATTTGTTGCTTGTTTCCCTTTGAATGGGCAGCAACCACTCAGAACAGCAGTAATGCACTGATAGTGTCATAAAATGGGAAATATTTCTTGTCATTTGTGTTTTATTTGTTTGGATCAAAGGAAAGGCACCTTTTCTTCTCCAAAGAAAACAGAAATTTGATTTCCAAAGGGAAAGAAAAGCACTTCCTTTAATGTTTTCAGTGATCATAGATTGTAGAATTGTTTTGGTTTTAATGGATCTTAAAAATATCTCAGCCCATCCCCCTGCCATGGGCAGGGACACCTTCCACTAGACCAGGTCATTCCAAGCCCTGTCCAGCCTGGTCTTGAACACTTCCAGGGATGGGGCAGCCACAGCTTCTCTGGGCAATGTGTGCCAGGGCCTCACCACCCTCACAGGGAAGAATTTCTTCCTAATATCTAATCCAAATCCACCCTCACCACAAAGGTTTGTGGTTCTTGAGCACAGAATGTAACTTCTCTTTGATTTTCAGGACTTCATCTGTCTTTTTCTTCTCTGCTCTTCTCTCCATGTCCCTTTTAATGGTCATAAGAGTAAGGGAGAAGAGACCATCTGGGTAAACTGATGCATTGGGAAGCCAGAAAATTTCAAAGCGGTGGGGAAAACTTTCAGATTTAGTTTTTCAACCTGGAATTTTTTATGGGAAATTTTTGCCCTCTTCCCTCTTCCTTTCCAGCACTGTGTTGGCAGGTGGCTGATGGGGTAGTAACAGCTTGAAAAAACGTGTTAGTAGGAGGTGAAAACAGATGTTGGCTTGAATTTGGGCCAGCTTGGGAATGATGGAGAGATAGGTGGCTTTATTACAGCCTAATGCTTTTGTTGGTGATGGGGTTTTATATTCACTGTATCAAAGCTTTGCTGGTAATTGTGATGTGCTGGGTACTCACCATTGCTCTGAGTTTTCCAGATTTGAGGAGAGGTTGCTCTCCTGGAACTTACCGACATTTTTTAAGACATTATTTAAAAGATATTATTTTTTAAGGCATTGTTTTTCAATGTCTTTTAACTCTGTCCACGGTGGCAGTGTCTTGCTGCTTGCTTTCTTCTGCTGGTTACACTGTTTTCTCACTGTCCTGGCAGTGGTGGCTGGTCTGTTCTCTACTCCTTTTCTCTCTCCTTTTCCCTCTTTCTCTTCTTTCCTTTAGATTCATGAGCTCAACACTCGCATGTCTGCAATCGAACGCATTCTGAACCGCTTGGAGGAAAAAATCCTGGTGCACTCTCACAAGGTAACCTGGCAAAGCCAAGGGGTTCTGCAAGGAGAGAGCTTGGGTTGTGCTGGGCCCCTCCCCTGGTTATCGGAGAGGCTCCCCTGAAGCAGCCAGCATTGCAGGGAGAAAGCTGGATAGACAAAATCATAAAAATATTTAGGTTGGAAAACACCTCTAAGATCACTGAGTTCAACCATTAACCTACCACTGCCAAGTCCACCACTGAACCATGTCCCTAAATGCTACAGTGACTTGGATTGTATGGGTTTAATCCTCTATTTTGGCCTCAGAGGCTGTTCTCTATTTCCAGGTGATGGAGTGCCTCACAAAACATTGCATGGCAGGACAAATTTAACCCATTTAGGCCCCCTTGCAAGCCAGTACCATCCTTGCTCCTTCTGCACAAGGAAAATTGGGTTTCAGGTTGATGCTTTATGAAATGCTGATTTCAGAAGTTTTGTTCAGTGGGTGTCTGTACATCCATAGAGCTGTGACAGCTCATTTGAAATCACGGGCCGCTTGATTAGTCCCTATGAGGAAATCACCTGGTTATTGTGTCTATGAGATCTGAGTCAAGGAGGATTTCTGCATCCTTTCTGAGCTGCCCTCGTCTTACCATGCCATAAAACTTGGAAGAAAACATCTAAATTAAGTTAAAGCTGAGCAACAATGTAGAATCTGTGAATACTTAGGCTGCTTAACATTGATTTTTGGGTTTCTAATTCTAGACTATGAGCTCTTTTTCCTTTGTGTGAACCCATCACCACTCTGGTGGCTGACAGCTCAGTAGAATGGACGGTGATAATTACAGGGAGGTCCCCTCTAGGCATGGATGAAAAGATGCAGTTTCTCCTTCTTTTCCAAAATTCGTAACGGGGGATGGCCATGTTTGTGGTCATTCAGTGTTTCTGTTACTAAGCCTGACAAAGGGAGAAGGAGATGCACACGGTGGCAGGTTCCCATGCTTTATTCCCATATCTAGGGTGAAGGAAAGCAGAGACAATGGGTCTAGACTGCTGTGGAACAGGTTGGAGTTAAGTATTAAGCAAAGCTTTCCAGTAGAAAGGACAGTAGAGCCCTGGAATAGGTTGCCTGGGAGAAAGATTGCCTGCTGCAGATGCTGTTGTTCAAGGTTGTTAAAAACAGCTTAGACAAAAACCCACCAGGTATGACGCAGGTAATTGTATTCCCATCTTAATGCAAGGGACAGTGAGTTCAGGAACTTCTGGAGATCTCTTCCAGTGCCTGGGAGTTTAATAGGATTCTTCTCCAGGTACCATGAATTGCACCCAATAATGGGGCCAGGTGGAAATAAACCATCTGTCCTACAGGAAAATTTGCTTCATGGTTTCTGATCGCAAATAAGATTATCTAGAGGCTCCAAAAGCTACCTCGGGGAGTAGCAATTCCCATGGCTGCTTCCCTCATGCTGGTGGGCCATGTCTTTGGGTCAGTGTGATCTCTGCCCTCAGAGCTACCAGCCACACCATGGTTCCTAACAAAAATGCGGGGATTTTTGCCCCAAATCCCCCATGTGTACCTTTTTAAGGGTGGGGGAAAGGCAGTTTTCCACAGTGTGAAACAAAGATGCTTTGTGTGTGGGGAAAATGGGAATGAAGGATCTTTAGATCAAGGGTTTGTATTCCTCAGTGTAGAGCTGGGCTCTGCTGCTCCCCTGAGCAGTCTGACTGCTTCTCGGGAATACAGGTGTGGAGAGGAGGCTCGAAGTTCTTGTTGCAAAGTCCATCTGTCCACTCCTTGATCTCCTCTGCTTGGTGAGTGTGTCTGCATCCAGGCAGTGCCCTGTTGTCCACCACATGAGACTGTCACACAACTCCATTCTTCTGCTCCTTCAGTCTCCAGCCCCAGAGTCCCAAACTGATCCCGATGCCGAGGAGGAGGAGTTGAAGAGGAAGCTGGAAGAGTTAGCCAGCAACATCAGCGACAAAGAAGTCTCTTCTGAAGAAGAGGAGCAGGAAGAAAAGAAAAGAGCAAAGAAACCAGAGATGAATTCCTCCAGTGATGACATGGCCAGAGATGCTCAAAAGGTAATCTGTGTCCTCCCACCCATATTGTTCCAGGCTGCACCCGTGATTCCTTCTGCTCTCGGTGGTTTATGGTTTTACACCATGATAATGGAACTCTTCTTCTGTCCTACACCTCCACTTTGATGCCTCCCAGGGCCATGGTGTGTCTGATTTAGCTGTCTGCTTTAACAGAGTGTCAAGGGATCAGGAGATCCCAGGGTGTTGGATCTGGACCTTTCTCCTTGTAGGCTCTCCCAGTCTCATCCAAGAGTCAAAGTAAAGCCTCTTAAAGGCTACTGCCTGTCACAAAGAGGTACCCAACCTCCACATGTACTTAGAGTTGTCTCAGGACCTGGATGTCATTATGGAGAAGAGTCCTTGAATGGGAGAAGAGATTGGTAATGATTAAGTACCAGCAGCCTTTTTCAGGCACCTGCTACAGCCTGAAATGTCTTTTCAACAACTGTCAGTGCTCCTGAGTCCCTAAACCCTGATCCCTCTTCCACTCTGCTAGACTAGTATTTACAGCACTGTGCTGGCTCCTATCCCCTACAATGTGGTGGGTGGCCTGTGGGTCAGGGAGAGGAGGATGAACCACAGCATCTATGCAGTGTGTCTCCAGTTGTTTTGGGTACCATTTGCTGTGCCACTGGATCAGCTGTGTGCTGCATCCTTACCCGACAGCATCCTTTACTGTCTTCTTTTTCCTGATGGCTGCTTTTAGATGATTGTTGCAGCCAGACTTAACTGCTTCTCATGGATTGAAGGATGTACATCATCTTAATAACCATTTCCATTTAAGTGCAGATAAATGGTAACTTAAATCCTGTGTGAGCTGATGACGTGCAGCAGACAGAGGCTCAAACCCTGAACAGAGAGTTGCTTGTATGGTATCAGTGTAAGATTCTTGATTCTCATAAAATGAAGCCTGGATCCTTCAGATTTTCTAATTTCTTTGCACCCAAACCCAGCTACGAAGTAGGGAGGAGTATTGAGTTAGAAATGTCTGCAATCACGTAGCTGGACCAGCCTTGATTAAAGGCTATGTCAGCGTGGATGTTTTTTAACAACTTCCCTTATACCAGATCCAGGTTTGGATTTTGAGGGGTTTTTGTTTAAGTCTCCTCCAGTCAAGAGGAAATCTTCTAACTGGAGAACACTGTGATGAAAGCACACAATCCTAATGGAAAATGTGAAAAAAAACTCCATTGTACCGTGAAGGCACCATAAAATTGTAAAAATATCATCTGTGCTGAGTTACCTGGTTCTCTGCAGGACAGCTTGCCTGGAAATAAGGTGCAGTTGTAAACACAGCTCTTTTGTCACCAGGGCATATATCACCCCCATCTCCTTGGTTTCTAGGGAATTATCAGTTGAGAGAGAGATGAGTTTCTTCAGTCCTTTTACATGTGCTTAGTACCTCATCAAGCCAACAGCACACAGGAGCATTACTGCCATCAGTGCTCCTTGGGTGGGGAAGAGAGGACTTTAGTCCCAAGTTCTGGCAGTGTGGCAATACAATCATTTTATGGGGTTTGGTTTATTTTTATTCTTTTGCCACAAACTCAAGGAGTTATTTGCATCCCTGCTCGGGCCCGCTGAAGCGTAAAGCAATATGCTGCAATTAGATCTCAACTGCTGAGTAACCAAGAGGCCTTCAGGTGGCCAGGTGCTGTCAGACAGCTCTGGTGGCACCATTTCCAGCAAGCAAAACATCCCTCGACAACCTTTTTTCCGAACCTTTCGAGATGACTCCTTTTGTCACAGCCATCCTCCAGAAGGCACGGGCTGAGATAAAAGCTCTGCTTTAGCCACGCATCCGTCTCCACTGGAGAGCCCTTCAGGAACAGCGTAAGCCTGTAAATTACCTCTTCTCCGTCTTTCTACAACTCCTGAAGGTCTGACGCCCCTTTCACCCCCAAGTTGTGCTGTTTTGTACACCACGTTAAAATAACGTCCTTATTTTTTCCCCGCCCCCACCCTCCGCTTTGGCTGCGCTGGGCGTTCGCAGAGGTCGTCGGCTCAGGCTTTGAGCGAAATCACGGCCAAAGTGCTGAGAGCCATAAACGTCACGGAGGAAGCGGTGTGGGAGTCGTTGCACGGAGAGGGCCGGTGCAACGGCATCTGTGCCCTCCCCGCGGGGCAGCTTCCTAGGCCGGTAGATGGGAAAGAGGTGGCCGAAGCGTACCGTGAGCTTGAGGAAAATGTAAGGTTCACGACAGCTTTCTGCGAGCAGTGTGAGCACTGGGGGGGTGGGAATGAACAGGAATCCCCCCCCCCCTCCCCCCAAAGATTTCTGGTTAGTGGGTAGGTCAGCACTAAAAGCGTGGTCAGCTGAGGGATTTAAGAGTCCGGTCATGTCTGATGGTGATACAACAGCAAGGGCAGGTATCCTGTCTTGTGGGTTCCCTTTCCTTGGTTCCTGGTTGCCCTGGGGGAGTGCCAGGAAGAGAAGGTGAGCACGGTCCCCAGCTTGCTGTAGCAGCATCGCTTTCCTGGACTTCAGCAGTCCCGTGCTCCAGCACGACTTGCATCCTATTTCTCTCCAGTTCCTCCCCAGCACTGTTCCGTCACCGAGGGTGCCATGACCTACCTGTTTGCTAAGGCTGGCCTTGCCTGAGGCTGATGGGCTTGTGCAGGTGACAAGTTTACATCTAGAGCGTAATCCCCTGCCAGGTTTGTAGGACACTGTGAAGCACTGACAGCTTTTTTAGCTGCTGTAAACCCACATATACTGATTCCCTATGGGAAATGCATTGCATCCACAGTGCCATGTACCAAGCTCCAAAGAAAAGGTTCAAAGAAGAGTTGAATCTCTACCTGGGTGGCTGGGTTTTTCTGCAGGAAATGTCCTACAGGGTGGGAGCAGGGTTTTATAACACATGCTGGGGCTCACCTCTCACTGGGGAAAGCCTATAAATGAAAGCAGGGAGCTGCAACACCTGGATGTTTTTTGACCAAATACAGCATCCCAAAGGAAGAGGGTTGGTTACATGAAGGTTTTGAGGTTCCCCCACTCCCAGGAGAGGAGATAGGGTTGGGAAGAAGGTAAACTTTGGGCTTAGTGCTGTTGCCGTCAATGCTGGGACAGGAATGGGTAGACAATGGCTCTGGGAGATGTGTGTCATCCTGCCATTCCCTCAGGGATCCTGACTGAGTCACAGCTGGCTGGCCACTCTCTTCTTTCCAAGGGCACTGGGAGAGCCTGATGGGCCAACAATAAATCCCTGTGACTCACAGGTTGAGTGGTACATGGCTTTAGGGTTTGCACTGGTGGGGTGGGACCTCTGGGACATATGTTGCTGTGATTTGGGTGGATGCTTGGTACTTAAGTGCAGGCAGAGGGTTCCTGCCAGGCAGTTTTGCATAATGTCCAGTCCAGGTGAAGCAGATAGGGCTGGAGGAGCAGGAATTGCATTAGCAATAGTGACACTTTGGGATCAGTCAGCAGAAGAGTGACCAAAACCCATCTGATTGTCTTATGTGATTGCCTACCGACATATTAATGTTTCCTGAACTATTTTGCTTGGACTTGTGTCCTCGTAACAGCTCAGAAGGAGGCAACTGGCAGTGGGTTTATTGAGACAGATTTTTTTACCCTTCTTCTCTCAAAGGGAGGACAGTGCAGGCTGACCATGCCCCCAGGCAACCCAGCAGCACAGACACCCTTAAAATAGAGACTGAGAAGATATGGAAAGTCAGTCTATCTCCTTCCCAGCTCTCTGCCATCACAGGACATGGCAGCCTGAGCTTGTTAGCAAGTACCTGCTCTCCCTTTGAGCACATGGCATAAAGACACTACTGCTTCTCAAGCAGGTCACTGAGTTTTGGTCCTTTCCTTTGTTCCCATTGAGCCTTTTACCACTTCACCCCATTGGTAATTGCTCTTGAAAAGCCTGGGGAAGAGAGGAAATGAGATGAAAAGCCGTGTCAGAGCTGACTGGTACTGTCTGTGCTGCAAGGCAAGAAGGCAGTCAAAAAAGAATGGCAGGAGCTATTGCACCTGTGGCTGCTGTCACACCAGGAGAGGAGAACTCCAGGGAGGTTGGCTCTGCAATGTGGGTTTTCTTCATCATATATTTCAGGTGTACTTGACTGCTGGGAAGACCTACAGGCTTGAGAAGACCCTGAAGGAGCTTGAGGAGGGGGCTCAGCACAGTGGCACTACTGACTCGGAGCTGTCAGAGCTGGAGGACAAAGTGGCCTCGGCCGCCGCTCAAGTCCAGCAGGCAGAGAGCGAGGTGAGGGTTTAGCTCTGAGTTGCTTTGCCCAGCCACTGTTGGCAAGCAAAGCCAGTGGTGGATCCTCCAGCCACCATCTGTATGTTTTTTTTCCTCCCTCTAAAGATTTCAGACATCGAAACCCGAATCGCGGCTCTGTCTGCGGCGGGGCTGACGGTGAAGTCAGTGGAAAAGGCAAAGAAGAAGTCAAGTGGGCAGGTGAGCATGGAGGGTGGTGGGTGTGAAGTCCCAGCCCTGAGATGTACATGCTCCCCTGGGTTGTTGCTGCTGCCTCTGGGTGCTGCGAAGGGCTGCCTGGTTTGCTGAGCTGTGCCCAACTCTCTTCCTGCTGCCCGGGGCTCTGCCCTCGGGCACACCAAGCTGTCTGCCTCCTCTTGCACCCCCAAAGAAACCTCTGCCCTTCCTCTGCCTGCAGGCTGCCTGCCTCCACTCTCTCGGTCCTGCCAGCAGCAGTCCAGGGGAGTCTTTGGATGACATTAAAGTGAGTATGTGTTTGATCAGTGCTGGCTTTGCATGTGGCACAGCTTTAAGCCTGGAGGCATCCAGTGTCTCCAGGGAGCTGCTTTCAAAGCAGTTGCCTCAGTGGGGACCTATGCCCTTCCATTCCCTTTCGCACAGCAGGCTGCTCCCCTTCCCTTGCAGGCAATGCCCGGACTACAGAGGTTCAGGAGGAGGTTCAACAGTCCCATGGAAATCACAGGTGAGGAGCATGGCTCTGTCTGTGGGAGATGGGGACCTGTGGGTGATGGGCGGGGCTTTGGGGGATGCTTGCTCCTCTCTCTGCATCCAGCTATGTGTCTGCAATGGAGGTTCCCTTCCCTGTGCTCACGTCCTCCTGATCAGACAGCCCCAGGGGAAACCTGTGGTGGATAACGTGGAAAGGAGACAGCAATTGTCAGGATCAGGGATAGTGACTGGACAGCAGAGGTCAGGCTGAGGTGGGTCAGTCCTCTAAGAACCAGGGCTGTCTCTGCAGCCTGGGCTCTGGCCTCCTGAGTTCAGGGAGTCTGCGTTACTTGATCTGTGGCACCCCGGGGGCTGTTAGACCTCAAAGCCTTGCATCATCGCTTCTGACAGCAATTTCTTCCTTGTTTGGTTATCCTGGGGAATGTATCCTTCCCTGGACAGTATACCCCACCCCTGGAAGTGTTCCAGGACAGGTTGGAAAGGGCTTGTAGCATCCTGGTCTAGCTGGAGGAAGGTGTCCCTGCCCATGGCAGGCGGGTGGAACAAGATGGGCTTTCAGGTTCCTTTCAACCCAAACCATTCTATGGCTATAAATCTTGACCCCGTTGCCCACCTGCCTCAGCCACTGGTCTCTGGTGGGGTGCAAGAGGCCCTCCAGGGCTCAGTTATGACAAACAGCAGCTTCAAAGTAAACGGTGACCTGAAACTTGGCACAGCAGCTTGGGTGGTAGGGGGGCAATCATTGGAAATGTTTCATCCTGGCTGATATCAGCAAGACTGATTAGGAAATTACTTTTCTATTTCTCTCTTATCACACTTTACAAGCTTAAAGATAGAAAGAGTGGCTCTCCTTCAAGATAATGGAAGATGAAGGGATGGAAGAGGGGAAAGATCATTTAATGCAGAGGTGGAATAGCATTTCCCCCATTCACACAGACAATTAACACTACTGGTTCCTAAGCTGAGGCTGGTGGGTGGAAAGGCTCCTTGTCCTCATGCTGAGGAGTCATCTGCTCTCCTTCCTGCAAAGGACAGGCAGATAAAGGCAGCCCGTGGGACACATCAGCCCTGTGAGGAGATAGAGGGATGTGCAATTGGGACAGACGTCACCAGGCGAACCTAATCCACTCTGCCTGGGCTGGGTGATGGGGTGACTTGGTCTCCTGACTGCCCTCCCTGCAGATCAATGACTTGAAAGGTTGGGCCTAAAAAGGTGCAGCTGGTGGAAGTTTGTCACAGAGGGGAGAGGAGGTGACTTAGTAGGTCAAGAGAGTGTCGTAGGCTTGAGTGGTGTGAGAGCTCCTTCACAGGCAGGCGGAGCTTTCCAGAGCAGAGGTCCTGCCTGCTGGTTGGCTGACCCAGCTCACACAGTGCTCTGGAAACCTGAGTAGCAGCAGCTTTTGTCTCCTTGTTATCAAAGGGCTTCCCGTCACCCTCCTGGAGGGAGAAGTGCCATGATGCATCCAAACCCACAGTCAGCAGGGGATTGGCAAACCCCAAGTGACCTGGTGGGTAACTGAAACCTCTGGTGAGGTGGATGAAGAGCTGCTGCCCATCTCTCTTTGTTCCCTACAGGCTTTGATGATTCCTTTGACCGCAACTCTGTTTACCGTGGCTCCCTGACACAGAGGAACCCCAACGGGAAGAACAGGAGAGTGGAGAGGCTCTTTGCGGTACGGACCCAGCCACCCAGGAGGGCTGCTGGCCTGGATTCCATGTGGGACCCGTCTCCCTGGGCTTTCACAGAGGGACCCGTCCCTCCCCACACTCTCCTCAAGCTGGGGGAGCGCCCAGCTCACAGCGCTGCTCTCACCATGCTGACTGGTGGGCAGGCACACCTGGGCATCACCCCCTGAGGCCTGGGATGTCCCCCAGGGTGGGGGGACCAAGAAAGATGTACATCTTTGAATTCCTCCTGCCTGCATGGCCTGTGGGATGGGGCACGTCCTCGCTCCATGCAGTGGCAGCTAGAGGGGACAAGGGGCACGCTGTCCTTGTCACCTGGGGTGGCTCAGGGCACGGGCACAGTGGTGAGCTGAGGTTTCTCCTTCTTGTGCCTTGCAGAAGCCTGTGATGACCCACCTGTCCTGAGGAGAGGGGCACATTCCTGCTACCGCATTTCAGTGATGATATAAGACCTCAGTGCAAAGCCTCTCACCGCCTTCCCTGCAACACTTTCTCCTCCTTCTCCTATGCCCTTCTCTCCCTGAAACCCTGGACAGAAACAAAGCCAAAGGACATGGACAGGAGGTCTTGCTGGGAGCTGCTGGGGGGAAGAGCAAGGCACTGGGGTGCATTCATGTGGCCGGGGGCTCTCCTGGGAGGATGCAGGCATGAGATCTTGGCTTTGTGCAGCTCTTGGGTACTGGCTCAACCCAGGTGGCCAGAGGAGGGAGCTGGATGTCAGTGTGGCATCCAGCACAGGGACCAGGAGCCCTGACTTGGCAAAAGCTGTCAGTGCCTGTCCCTGCTCTTTTCCAGGCTGGTGGTGAGCAGGGACAGGAGCTGACAGTGGGGTGCAGGATGACCCTGGGATACCCCAGGTGGAGCAGGGAATCCCAGTGCTGGGATTCACATTGAGGTGCTGGTCCCAGCTCCCTGCTATGTCCCTGGAAGCATTGTTGGCCTTCCCTGAGTAGCAAAGGAGGTTGAAAGCAGGTTTCTTCCCTCCCCGTAAGCACTTGGCCAACAGATCTTTGCACCAAACCATGCAAACACCCACTGAGGCCTCTCGCTGCTGTGCCTGAAGCAGGTGTGACCATCTGGGGATGTGAGTGAGGCGAGGCTTGCAGGAGGTGTCGGCAAGGAAGATGGAAGAAATGATGGAGAGCTTGCTTTTCCAGCTCTCGAAGATACCTCCTCTCCATGTGAGATTATATCAGCAAGATATATAGTAGAACTCCAGCAAGCAGAGTGTAGGTGCTTCTCTGCTCCATAGAGGGGTCAGCCCATGGCAAGATGCACTTTGTGGATGAGCATGTCCCCTGTCCCTGATTGTAGAATCTGTTAGGACTATCCCATCCTTTGGAGGAGCTGTGATGACCTTCGAGGGCTGCAGTGGCCCTGGGCTCCTGCCAAGTGACAATGGCATTGGTAACATCCTCCCCCATATGCCCCAAGATGTTTGTTTTCCTCCAGGATTTAATTCCCCACATCCATTAACCCCTGTGGATCAGTCTCTGGCCCCATATCCATGCCCAGGGTATTGGGATGGGAAGAGGGTAGGTTTCTCTTATAGGTCACTTTGGAAGAGTTTTTTTGCTTGGTACCTGTCCTGTACAGCCCCCACCTCCCTCTCTCCCTCCCTCCCTCCCTCTCTCCTTCCACAGTGGGTGATGTGGGGAGGATCACTCGCAGCCAGAGTGGGGATGTCAGACCAAGCTGACAGTTTCCCATCAATGGCCACTCAGGCTGGACCCTGTGCAACTGAGCTAAAACCACTTTAATTATGAGAAGTAGGATGAATTCTTATGCAAGTAACTCATACATTGGCTTTGTCTAGAAACTGCTAACTTCCTAGAAATTGGTCCTGTGGTCATCCTGGAGTAGTCTTCTAAGTCCACAGTCTGGGCTTCCCAGATGGAAACAAAACCAGTTTCTTAATTTAAAATTAAATCCTTCTGGCCTGAAGCTCAGAAGGGTAAGTGCAAATCTCTGCTGTGGCAGAAACTGTCCCAGACACCGTGGCATTACTGGGTGCATTTCTTGCTGCTCTGCTGGCCTCGGTGCTGGGATGTCAGGTCCTTGCTGGCAGAAGGGAGCTCCAGCAAGACCTGGGGGGTTTGCACTCACCCTTCTGGTGTCAGGGTTCAGCTTTTGCCCCAACTCCATCTCTTTCTCTATCTGGTTTCAGCCGTAACTCAAGTCTTTCCATGCTTGACTCTGTAAAGAAATCCTCACGGTGAGCTTCAGCAGTGCAAACTAAGGCATTGTTCAGGCTGTAGTCATCCACATTGTTCTCTGCTGGTTTTCTGACCCGTCTTTCTGTCTAGAGATTTTATATATGTATACTAAATCATCCAATAAAGCAAATTTTATGTCCAGGACCATCCACCCATTTTCCTGTGTGTGTTCTTTTAGCTCACTCAAGCGAAGGTTCCTCTCTCTTTCCATAGAATCACAGATTGCTTTGGGTTGGAAGGGATCTTAAAGCCCATCTCGTTTCACCCCCTACCATGGGCAGGGACACCTTCCACTAAAGCAGGTTGCTCCAAGGCCCATCCAACCTGCCCTTGAACATTTCCAGGGATGGGGCAGCCACAGCTTCTCTAAGCAACCTGTACCAGGGCCTCCCCACCCTCACAGAGAAGAATTCCTTCCTAATATCCCATTTAACCCCATGCTCTGGTAGTTGGAAGCCATTCCCCCTTTTCCTGTCCCTCCAGGCCCTTGTCCAAAGTCCCTTCCCAGCTCTCCTGGAGTCCCTTTAGGCACTGGAAGGTGCTGTAAGATCTCCCCAGAGCCTTCTCTTCTCCTGGCTGAGCACCCCTAGCTCTCCCAGCCTGTCTCTAGAGCAGAGGGGCTCTAGCCCTTGAAGCATTTTCGTGGCCTCCTCTGGACTCACTTCAGCAGGTCCATGTCCATCCTTTCCTTTAATCAATCTGTGCAGACCTTGCTTTCAAACTATATGGGTGAAGCAGACAGGAGTTGAATCAGCAGCACTGAAGCAGAATGGAGGCAGATGGTTCTGATCAGGATGGCAATATGACTAGTCAGATACTGGTCACAGAGCCACAGGTGTGAAGACTGTGGGTCAGTGGTACCCAGTGGTCAAGCCAGGTGGGCAAAGGGGATGCACGGTAAGGAGGGGCTGATCCTGAAATAAATGCACTGCTCTGACTTGGCATGGATACCCTGAATCAAATCTGGCAACTGAAGCCACAAGAAACACAAGCCCACATTGAGGGGTTGCTTTAAATCTGTATTAAATCATAGCAGCAAACTTGGGGTAGACCTGCTGAGCCTAGGGTGTGGGTTTCCATGGCTGAAAGTCGGGGGGGGTTGTCTCTCTTTAGCCCTTTCCCTGCCTTTCCTGCACCTCTGTGGCAATCACCCTGTGTCCCTTGCTGCTCCTGTCACCTGTCCCCAACACTGCTGTGCTCAGGTACTGGAGCTGATAGCCATGAGACAGAGATCTGTCCCAGGGCAACGCGGGGTGGCAGACAGAGACCTGCCTCCTGCCCTCACCCCACTAGCAATGGTGTCTTCACCATCCTGCCAACACAGTTGTGTCCCTGTTTCAGGATGTCTATGGCCCCAGTTTTGCCTGGGGATACCAACTAAACCCTCTGTGCTCGGGACACGAGCTGGTTCCTTCAGTGTCACATCCAGCAGAACAAACATAATCAGAAATCGTTTAAACCCATTTAAAAAAGGAAGGGGGGGAGGGGGAGGGGGAAGCAGGGGATTTGAAGCCCCCATGCCATGAGGACAAACCCATTTCTGACAACCCGTGTACCCCAGCAAGTTGCCTTCCCCTATTCTCTGTATTTAATGCTCTAGTTTCCTTAAAGCAGCTTTTTTGGGGGAGGGAAAGTGATGGAGAAAGGTACCCAGTATGAATCCTGTGGTGGAGTTGCACTGGTAACTCAGCTTTCAGGGCAGCATCAACCACAGACCCTCCCGCTCTGGAGTGGGCTCTGGGTGGGTGATGTTGTTCGAAATAACCCCGGGTCGAGGACAGGGATTAACATATTCCCTAACTATCTTCCTCAGTCAGCGGAAGATAAAATGCTGGTCCCTTCTGAGTCATGAAAATCCCCGTGCTGATTTGATGAGAGGGGACAGCGGGGAGGGGAGATGCCCTGCCTGGCTCGGTCCCCGCCAGGACTCGCCTCTGACATCAGCACGAAACCGGCCATAAAAACAGCGACCGGAGGGGCCTCCCGCTCAGACAGTAGCCACTTGGCTCAGCAGGACGGCAGCCGGGCACCTCGCCTCGCCACGCCACGGTAAGTGCAGCCCCGGCGGCGGGAGCCACGCTTTTCTCTCCCTCTCGTGATGCTTTTGAGCGCTGCTTTGCCTCCCCGTGTGTCTGTCCTTGCGTCTGTCTCCGAAGGGCCGGGCTGGAGGGTTTCAAAAATGTGGTGGTCGCAGCAAACCTGAGCTCCCAGCAGTCTGCCTCCTGCACAGCACGCTGAAAACTTTTCCTCTGCAAAAGTCCCTGCAAATAAAGCTGCCGCCACACCCTCGCCGTGTCCTGCCTCACCCACCTCTCCCGCTTCTGCACCCCTCGCCCTGGCAGAAATCAAGCCCATCGCTCAGCCGTGCACGCTCCTGCTCATCACCTCAGTGCCCTGGAGCAGGTTACAGTGTGTTCCCAGGTTTCTACTTCGGCAGCCGAGTCCAGGGGTGAGTGCCCAGGGTGCAGAGGTGGCCGTGGTCCCTCCATCCGTCACCCAGCAGCAAACCTCGTTTGAGGCTCTGCAGCCTTTGGTGCAGCCAGCCCTGCACTTCGGTGGTGGCTCCTCTCCCCGTCACCCAGGCTGTTTTGGGTCCCATGGGGCACCGGGGGTTCCAGAGAAGAAACGATGAACTGTGTCAGGCCTGACCCAAGGCACTAGGCTAGGACCAAAACTGTTTTAATGAACATCAGGTTTGCACAATTCATGTTTGGAGGCGATACTTTCCCCAGAGGTATCAGCCCCAGGAAAAGTCCCATGTTGTGATCCAGCTCTCCTAAGCCCTTTGCATCGCTGCGTGCCCAGAGATGCTGTGATAAGGACACACATCAACAGCCAAAAATCCCTTCCCTCCTGCAGCCGCATCGGAGGCCGTCGTGTTTGTGGCGTGAAGTGCCGGGGACCAGGAGACTTCGGAGCTGAGCCACTGCGGCCGCAAAGTGCTGGGGATGAAGCTGGGGGCCACCTGCCTCCTGTGCCTGCTGCTCGCCTGCCTGACCTTGCCCGTCGCCCACGGCCGCATCCTCGAGCGCTCCATGGAAATCAGGAGTAAGGAGAACATGAGTAAGGGACTCCCCCCTGGTCAACCCCCTGCTTCCAGCCCCCTCTGCGTCCCCAGACTCAGCTGCATTTTTGGGATTTAGGAGGGGGTGTAACGATGCAGAAGCAAAGGTTTGCTTTGAAACAGCCTTTGTAAGAGCTTTTATCCCTCTTTTCCCCCTTTCCTGCTCCTCGTGCGTTCTTATCCCCCTACCCATGGGTGAAACACCCTGTCCTCTCCCCCATCACCCCCTGATGATTCCTCGGGTTTTCCCTTGCAGACCCAGACATCGACCCCTCCTGGTACACGGGACGCGGGATCAGGCCGGTGGGGAGGTTTGGGAGGCGGCAAACCCTGGGCGAGGGCACCCACCCCATGGGGGGCCGGCAGCGACCCTGTGCAGCCCCCCACCCTCCCCGGGAGGAGCGGAACCCTTGAACTGAAGCTGACAATAAAACCCCTTCTCCTCTCATGCCCGTGTCCCAGCGTTTCTGTTCCAAAACGCAGCAGGGGGGGATGTGGGGAGTGTGACCCTGAAATTTGCTGGTCTAGTCATGGTTCAGCATTGAGGGTCTAGTGTGGTTTGGGGAGGGAAGGGTTAATTTTGGGAAGGGGAGGGAGCAAATGGGGTGCAGGAGCGGCAATTAGCACCTAATGTCTCCCAGCTGCCCTAACAAAGGGGATTTAGGCGAGGGGACGGAGCAAATCTTCCCTTTTGCTGAGGAGAAGCTCTTGTCCTGCTCCGGGATGGTTCAGCCCTGGGAAAGCACCGCAGGTGGGTGTCCTGGCTAGTGAGGGGTCCTGGAGTGGTTGGTACTCAGGGGCAAGATAACCTCCCCTGCATGGAGAAGACCTTTAAGGGTGTTTGCTGCCCTGCTGCATTGCGGTTAGGCCATGCCCCAAAACCTCGGAGGTTACTGCCCTGCAGACAGGGTGAGTGCTGCTGCCTTTGGACAGAGCACAGGTGGTTTTTTTCCTCCTTTTCCAGCCGAGGTGAGTTCCCATATCTAACTTTTAATATGCAAAGGGGAAGCCCTGCAAGGCACGGGATACTGGGACACCAGTCGTTTAGGCCTGTTCTGGCTCTTATGTTGGCAGTAAATCTGTGATTTCTCCCAAGGATGGGCTGTGACCCGCTATGGGTCACATGGGGGGGAGGGAACACTGGCTCTGGTCCTGCTACCTCTAAGCTTCCCCACGTGCAGGCTGACACCCAGGACAGGGAAAAAACAACACACCTTTAGGGCAATATTCTTTTTATTTGCAGCCTGAGTGTAAAGCCCCTGGAATGCACCTGCTTTGCTCTGGCAAGTTAAACCCTCCCTTTTCAGATGGGAAGGGAGATGGAAGAGGTGATGTGCAGCTGGGGTGGGGGCATGTCACCAGTCAGGGTTGGTGGTATTGTTGCTGCCAGGTCGTGCTCTTCTCTGGAAGTGGAAGCTTGGTGGAAGAAAACCCTGTGCTTTATCTCTCGGATGAAGGCAGTGCTAGAGGGTTGAAGAGACCCTGTGCACCTGGCATGGGCTCTGAACTCGCTTTGAGGGGCAGGATGGTCAGGCTGAGCTAATTCTGAATCCCCACTGCTTTGTCACTGCTCTTCCTGGAGACTTCATCCAGTCATGGCTGAGGTCCAGAGCTGCACGTCCTCAGAACCAGCAGCACCTCCTCTTTGTTGTGCCCTGCTGCAGGTCGACTGTTGATCTCCCGTGTGGGGATGGGGCAGGTGCCTTCTCTTTTTCCCGCCACAGGAGCTCTTGGACTAGGAGGAAACACAAGGCAAGAAAGGGTTCTTTTCTCCTGCTGGTGGTGTGGGATGCAATGGCCACCCCCTCCCACCCCAGGGGACCATCCCAGAGTTCCCCTAAGCTGAGGACACCATTCCACCTAGATTGGATACTAAAGCAAAATAAAATTGTGGTTTTGGAAGAAGGCCTGAAAGCCATCTCTGATGCTGGCGTATCCTGGGATGGATCTGTCCATCCTTCTGCCTGAAGGGGTAGCACAGGCTGGATTGGCTGGGAAGATCTCAGTGGCAAGCAGGAGCAATGCAGGGGGTCAGCTCTGCAGGGGCTTGGGGACGTGGTTCATCTGCTTCTGCTCTCATCTAGAGCCATCACATCACTCACCTATGGCCATGAAGATATCATTTACTTGATGGTTGGATTTTGCAGATGTCTCCATGAACAGGAGGCCTTTTGTTCGTGCAAACTCTGCCCCCTCCTAAGTGGAGACAAGCAGAGTTATTACCCCAGCCTCTTCCAGGGCTGCTTTTTTGGTTATGGTGGCATTTCATGGTGGGTCAGTAATTGTATGGGGACTTTGGAGGTGTCTGAAAACCTTTTGAACTTTTGGCTTTCCTTGGGCATATCCCAGTGCTTGCTGGTGAGGGGGTGATGAGGGAACCACAGGCACTCACCTCAGTGGTGACCTCTCGCTCAGCAGCAAGGTCTGTTTTGTTGCCCACCAAAGCAATGACAATTTCATAGGGAAGGAATTTCTTTTCCAGCTCCTCTAGCCACAGCTTTGCTTTCTTGAGTGTTTCCTGGAGAGACGGAGACAAAACCACTCAGTGATCTGGTTTTGATTTAGTCCCTTTGTTTTAGACAAAGCTGGATGGGTGGCACCAAACCACAGGTGGAAGAGGTGTGGTGGGTAGGTTATGATTGCCCTCTCTCAGAGAAACAGCTCATCAGCTCTCAAACACCTTTAGGGATAAATCAACCATGGATGGGATGCACCCTTTAGGCATGGTAGCAGAATGGTAGCACCATCCCAGGGTGGTGGCATGGTCCTGCATGGGCAGGGAGAGCCCCTGGCAAGTCCCAGGGGGAATGTTCACCTTCTCAGGTGGTGCTCATGTACCGCTTTCTGCTCTGCCAAGGACAAACACCATCATCTGGACATCTCTGCCCCACCACTGTGCTGCAGCATGGCATGGCACGGCACAGTTCCAGCGTGGATGGGATGAGCATCCCCTGCCTTACCTTCTTAGCAATGTCATAAACGAGGAGAGCAGCGTGGGCGTTCCGGTAGTAGAGGTGGCAGACACTTTGGTACTTCTCCTGGCCTGCCGTGTCCCAGATCTCAAACTTGACGGTGGCTTCCTCCAGGTTGAGTGTGTGTGTGAAGAAGGAGCCTGCAAGCAAGATGCAGAGTGCACGTTCACTTGCAGTAACAGGAGATAGCTCAGGTCTGATGCTGTGAGGTCAAACCCATCCCGAGGATTGGTAACAATGTTCTAATGCACGAAGTTGGGGTGGGTTTCTCATGATCACTGGCACTGCTGATGGGATAATGTTCTGCAAGGCCAAGGGTCCTTCCTAACAGCAGACTTAGGTGGACACCAGGTTTGATGTCAGACAGTTCTGAGCTTTGTGGAACAGATCCCAGACAGAGAGACATCACCACCTTCCTGGTGGGTCAGACCTGTGAGAGCTGTGAATAGGAATATCCACTGAAAGGGTGAGCCTCCATCCCTGTTCCCAGGGAGCAGAGGGCTGCCTATAGACCAGCCAGAGCCAAGGCAGAGAAATGGGGAGAAGTTCCACAGTACTTTGGTCTCCTCCACCAGCTCTGCAGGTACAGGTGGGACTGCAGCCTCTGTGCCAGCTGTGCCTTTTTAGGGCAAAAGCCAGGCACGTCATGTAAAATGAACATCTGTAATGTCTAGATGCTGTAGGACTTAGGCAGGGGAGATTGAAACTAGATTATCTTTAAGGTCCCCTCCAATGCAAACCATTCTATGAGACCCTCCTGGGGTGTCTTAATAGCTGGGAGGGCAGCACAGGCCAAGCGTGAAAAGAGCAGATGGACTGTACAGTTTGAATTCCAGGTTTCACTCATTTTGCTGCTCATCTGCCTCTAAAAAGCAGCACTAAGCCGTACTTGTGTGATATATTTTGTGGCTTTGCTTACAGCCTGGTGCTGAGAAAATGGTTTGCAGAGATGTGAAGGGGAAGGTCTGGCTCTTGGGCAGGTCTGTATCATGTTCAAAAGTGGATCTGCGCTACTATGAGATGTACCAACCAGCTCTTCTCCATCCCATCCTGCTTCAAGCAAGTGCATCAGGCCTGGTCTCTTTGTCCAGAGCCATCAAGCAATTGAAACCACTCACTCACAGCCCACGGTTGGCAGGATCTCCCTGAAGTCATTTTTCACGTATCGGTAGGCCAGGCTTGACTTCCCCACCGACATGCTGCCCAGCAGAACCACCTTGTACGTGTAGGTGGGATGACTCCCCTCCATAGAGGTGCCTGGCATCGTTTCCTGTGCTGTGCCCTGTGCAAGGAAACCAACTCTGTTCAGTGTACATCTGCAGCTGATCCCAGCCTCCTCCATCAGGTCCTGACTGGTGCCAGAGGGACAGGTGGGGTTTAACCTCGAAATAGGCTGGAATAAAGTTATTAATAACCTGAATCAAATCTAATGCATCAAAGCATCTGCCACTGTCAGTTATGACCAGAAGGTGGGGATCTTTAGGAAGGAACAATCAATGCAACAAGCCTTCTTGGATGTAGACAAGGAGATTGAATTTGGTGGGTCTTCTTTGAGAGGACACGCTGGGGGAAGTTAATGGCAGAGGGACATCACTCATGGCTGTGCCTTGCTCTAGAGCACACCTTCCTCCCCAAAGTCCTGCTGAAGAGTTTAGGCTGATGTTCTACATTTATTGTGGGTGCTGGTTAGAAGTTATACCAGGAAAGCCCAATTCAGGTATGGAGGTGATGGTAGTGCCAGCTTGCTAAGGACACTGCCCAGGGAATGGCTGAGCACCTGGGGTTTGATGGGCTTTGTGGCAGCACTGCTCTGAGTCAGCAAGTTGCTTGAAAAAGCAGGAGCAAGAGGACCTGGCTCAAGCACCCCTGAGGACAGCAGCACACAAAGCAGATGGCACCATGGTAGAGAATGCCCAGACACACCAAGCCCATGAAGTCTCACACTTTATGACTGTGTCAGCACAGAGCATGACTCTGCACTGCTCTGGATGGAGCTACACTGTGCCAAGGGATGGCAGGGAAACAGACCATAATAACAGTGGTTATCTCAAACCTGATTCTGAGAAAGCTGCTGTAGAATTTTGTCCATACCCTGGGAAGAGGATGGTGAGTGTGAGTCCTCCTGGGTGGTATGTGTCCCCTTCTCCCAGCCTTGAGGTCAAGGAAGCGACAGTGCCCTGCTCTTGGTGAGAACTGCCAGCACAGGGCAGCAAATAACACTGTCCTGGTTTGCCTTGGTTCCTCCTTACAGAACTCCTCCTCCAAAAATACTCATATGAACAGTTATAATTGAGAGAAGGAAGTTCATGCAGAGCCTGAAGTTGAAGGCTCATGGGGTGTTGAAGTTAACAGGATGCTGAGGTGAACACTGCTGGAATGGGGTGCTTCCCTGGGAAGGTCTCTGCAACTCCCTTCCCTGACAAAAGCCCCTTGTTCCTGCAAGCTGCTCGTCCCACGTGTCTCCTTTATTTTGCCTGTCCTTCCCCTGCAGGCTCCAGACCTTTAATTCTTCATTAAGGCTGTCCTTAAAAGCATTCCTCGGTTGGCTGAACTCGGGTCTGTATCTTTAGATCCAAATAGCTTTCCTGGTCAGTTAGATGGGCTTTAATTCCCTTAAAAAAACCCACACAGGTAACACCATCTTCCCCAGCTCATACAGCCCCTGTGATGAAGAGCAGGACTGTAGTTTGTGCAGGACAGCTAGTCAGGGGTGGGTAATATTATTTAAGCTGGAAAAAGATAAACCTTGCAACACAGCATAAATGTGCTCCTTGTGGTATTGATCACATACACTTGCCTCTTTGTAGGCTGAAAATAAGACTGCCATCCATTCTGGGCAGTTACTGTCGCTGATAAGCCATAAAACTCTCTAAGGAAGCAAGAAGCTGCTTGAAGACCACCCAAGATTATCCATATTAAACTCAGATTCTCGTCATTCCCCTCTGCTGCTCTCTGTTCAACGTCAAAAGGTTGAGTTGATGCTGGAACAAAACTCAGCTGAGATTTACTGCAATGAGTTTTGTCAAAGCTCATTTTAAACAATTTCCACCCAAGGAGAATGACAGGGAAGCAAAACAAGTGGCTTTATTGTTTCTGGTTCAATGGAGAACAGGGGAAAATGGTGGTGGTTTTGTTAATTTTTTGTTTGTGTTTTTTTTTTTTTTTCTTAGTTTTGGTTTTTTCCTTTTTTTTTTTTGTTGGAGTGTACAGAGTAAAAACCTGCACTTGCTGGATAAGGGACTACAGGAAGAGCATTCAGATATCTCATGTGGTTCATAGTCACCTTCTGTGGCTGCTTTCCTCCTTAGGGAAGAGACTGTCAGTAAGACTTGGCTTAGGGTTAAAGTCAGCTCCAGAAATTCCAGGATGCTGTTCTGGCAGAGTCACCAACACCTGCTCCAGATGTGGATGTCACAGCAAACATCATCCCTGTCCTTTCAGCCAGTGTCTGTGCTGCTGAGGAAACACAGGCTTACTGTTCATGTGGAAACCTCGCTGACTTCCCTGAGCAGATCCAGGAGAAATATTGACAAAAACTTCCCTGTGAATTTCTGTGAGTTAAACCCCAGCAGAGTGCATGTGCATGCTAGAAAGTTTCTGTCACCATGACTAGAATAAGTTTGGTTGATCTTATTACGAACCTGAAACTCTGAAGAAGTCACCAATGCTTTGGTGTAAAATGGCTCTAGCAAATTCTTCCACACAGGCTTTCAAAGGCTGAGGTGTAACCTGAATTGGAACTGCTTAGATGCTGGATTTTGTGGTTTTTATTTTGATCCTGGTAAAGAATAACTCAGCAATTTGGGGGGCAGCTTGGGGAACAGCTGAGGTGTTGCAAGTCCTGTCCTTGTGCCTAGAGGCCCTGCTGAGGGGCAGGGAAAGCTGAACCTGCTCAGATTCAGTATAGTCAGAGTTAAACCAATTTATCTTCAATGGACTGTAAAAATCCTGCTGGTGGATTTAGCCTCCAGATACAGCTTAATATTTTGTGACAGCTGTGTCTAGGAGCAGATATTCAGGGCAGGATTGCTTGATCTTACACTTACCTTGAAGGTAAGTAGCCAAATGGCCACGGCACAGACCATTTCTCACTTCCTAACAGAGGATTAAACATTGCTGCACCCAGGAAATCGTGTTCTCAGCCAGACAACCCCATTCCCCTGTCTCAGTGTCTCCTCTCTCCTTCCCCTGGGCCAGCTCTGACTGGCATTCATCAGCTGTGTCCCTATGGAGCCCAGTGCAAATCAGCCTAAAGGTGATCTGTTTGCCAGGTACGGCGGCAGCAGTGCCAGATCAGCGATATGGCACTTGGACCATCCACTTCCAAGAAGGGACCTGACAAATATGTTTATGAGGGTGACTGAGTTGATTAGCATCAGCAGGAAAGTGGATTTTTTTCTAAGGAGTACCCTTTCAAACTCGTTGTTTATCAGCAGAAAGAATAGTAATAAAGAGAGAAACATGAGGTGATAGGGTAGATATTTGTGCTAGAATGTGACAGCAAGGGCTTGGCTTTCACCATTTAATAAATTAGTGTCTCTGCAGCATTTTTAATCTGGGGTGGAGGGATCCTGGTGTATTTATTGTGAAGGGTGGTTAAGCCTTTTTTTTCCAAAGGAAAGTAGTGGGAAAAAAAAAAAAGGAAAAGTAATGTAGACCTTTTTGAGGATGAAGTTAACAAAAAGTCTCATTTAAGACTGTTTAACTTCCTGGGAAATTAATGTATTTAAGTGTAAAGATGTCTAATTGATGTTTAAGCTTTTCTAAACCACGAGCTCTAGGGAGGTCCTAAAACAATTAAAGACATTTGCTGAGTTTCTGCGGGGATGCAGCAATGAACCAAAACCACAGTTAATGAGCTCCTTGATAAAAATACAGGATTTCAATGCTTAACTGTGTCTGTCTGCAGTATCTAACCCTGCAATTTTTGGACATGTTAGTTCAGGTTCTTTCACATTTGGATACTTAATTTTTTCCCCCACACATGACAGTTGTCTTGCACTTACCTCCCCAATTAACTTTTAGTATTCAGCTTAAAGCAATTCTCTGCTTTTGGGAGCCTTCTCCTACCTGCTACAGCCCTGGCAGTGCTGGTGTGGGAGCATGGACACTTGGAAAATTCACTTAAGCCAAGGTTACAAGGGGATACAAAAATCCCAACTGCAAAGACTTAAGGTGTAAACACCGTTAGATTTACATAGTGCCAATTTCTCAGGGCAATTAGCTCTCCTCAGAGCTAAGGGTAAGAGAAAAAGGATCATTAACTGTGCTGGGAAATGGCAGCAGCAATAAATGGAGACTGCCCTGGGCTGTAGGACACACCGAGCACTCTGCTAAGACCTTTGCAGTAGCTCTCGGCTGCCTGAGAGGATGAGGGGTGGGGCAGAGGGCTTCCTAAAACCTCTTCTCTTGGGCAGAGACTCACTGAGGACTGTGCCACCCTTTGTAGTGGCTGCACCTTTGTGCCTTGGGTGTGGGGCTGCTTCCTAGTGGGAGGATGAGAGTCCCGGCGCTGGTCTGGGAAAGGCACCTTGGACATGGTGGGTTGGGGCTGGGGCCTGCCTCATGGAGAATCCCCCAGTGAAGGATGCCTTTACCTTCCTGAAGCCTTGCTCTCCTCCCAGAGGTCCAGTCTGTGGTGTCAGGTGTGGTGGGATGATGGCCCCATCCGTCTGTTCGAGCCTCTTGGTGCCCAGGGCAGGTGAAAACGAAACCACCTGGGAGTGGTGTCAAAGGTGAGAGGCGAGGGGAGATGAGCGAACCTTAGACCTGACGCCAGGTCTAAAGTCTGGGAGCCGGGCAAGACCGGGACCACAAGGCTACCGTCACAGGGAGTGGAGCCGGTGGCCATGCCCACTGTACTCCCTCCCTCCCCACCTCCTTCCCTCCCCCCTTCCCATGGCAGTGGATGGGTGGATGGACAGACGCACAGATGAATGAGGGAGTGGGTTTTTCCCCATGTCATGGCATCCAAGGCCAGCCTAGTTACCAGGGGAATGGGGAGGAAAAGCACCTTGGACTCCACCACAGAGGTTTGAGGACCAGGGAGGGCTGCGTGCGGAGCCGGCCGGAGACGTGTACTAGGGATCTGTCCTTAACCGAGTTTTTATAGTACAGCAATTTCTGCTGACACATGTTAGATCTGGCTTTGGTCCTGTGCCAGGTATGGGCTCAGGTTATTTAGGCTTGGGATTGCAAAAGAGAATTGTTTTCAGGAGCGTGGCTGATTTACTTTTGGTGTGAGAGGACACACCCGCTTGTCTTGCAGAAGAGCTTGGGAGGTACAAAGTGAGCAAAACCTGAGCATTTTACTGCCTGTTGATTAAAATAATAGCTACTTACCCCAGAGGAGCCCCTGGTGGTCTAGTGGCAAGGGCACGGCACTGTCACCGCGGAGGCCCGGGTTTGATTCCCGGTCAGGGCAGATGGAGCTCGTTAGCCCTTAAAGCAATCCATCTACGTCCTAAGGACCTCGCTGCCACCGTCCAAGCTCGCTTGGCCCCGGTAGATGAACCTTAGGATTAAAGGGTGGGCTCAGTTCCACGCACACTGTGTCTCACCTAAAAAATCCAATGCGCAGGCTGGAAGGTGTAAAGACCTTCCCCGGATCTTCGCTCACGAAGACTGGCCATTATTTATTACTTACCCCAGGCAGCTGGGGCTTAGTGTTTTGAAAAAGGCTGCTCTTTTTAAATCTTTAATATCTTAAGAGAGAAATCGTAGCATGTTAATGCATTGGGATAACAGGTCTGGAGTGAAAATGGCAAGATATGATAATTAAATATCTAAATGAGGATAGTTCTGTATTTCTGTCACTTGTCATCATAGTCAGTGTCTTTCCTTCAAGTAAGATATCTGGGAGTGAAACAGACTTCACAAAATCTAATCCTAATAGGGACTAATAGTTATAGGGAACCGGGTGAAAAGCAGAAGTCCTACAAGAAAGCTTAAAAACAATAGCAGCCTAGTTTTGAAATGAGAAATGTGTCTTGTGACTTCCAAGGCCTGAGCACTGTGACTCAATTGCTTCCCATTTCTACGGTAAAAAGCCATGTATAGATGCCTGAGAGTTGCACAGATTTCATACAGGAGCAGTGCCCCCACCATGTGGAATCACCATAAGAGGTTTTGGTCTGCAAGCCAAATTGGAACATTTCCCTTCATTTGGGAATGTGTGCATGGATTTAAACTGTCAGAGCAAAATTTGAGGTGGATATACTCAAGCCTGAGAGCAGATTTTACCCTCTTGCCAGAGGGAAGGAAAGTGTTTACCCCATCAGCACTGCAGACACTAGAACAGGATCTGGGGATCCTTTGAGGATGATTCCTAAAAACCCTATAAAAACCCAAACTGCCTGAGGCTCGTATAATTTCTTTAGCTCTAAAGCAGTTTAACGTGCTCCCTTCCCTTTCCCATAACTTGTTTCCCAAATGAGCTGACTTAAAGCCTTATTTTTTTCCAGGGTTTTACATCAGTCAGTTCTTTGGTGTGAATCTTTGACCCTGTGCACAGTTGCCCTGGCACAGCACAGGGTTAGGAAGGTGTTTCAGCAATTTAGAAGGGCTGGGGGCATGGAGCCCTGAGGCTGGGATTGCTGCAGCAAGAACCTTTACCACTGGTTTGGACCTACAAGCTATAGTATCATCATGCACCTAAATTAAGTATCTGATTTTTAGTAGAAAAAAAAAGCTGGAAGGCTTTGAAGCCTTATGACAGGACTGCTTTGTTGGTGCTAAGAGAAACTTGATTACCAGTTTGTGCTGCTGCAATGAGCACCCGTCTTGTGCTCTGTTATTTTCATACCAGTCTCCTCTGCCTGAACAGATGACACATCTCAGATGCCTTTCATAGAATATTCTGAGTTGGAAGGGACCCACAAGGATCATCAAGTCCAGCTCTTATGTGAATGGCCCACACAGGGATCAAAACCATGACCTTGGTGTTATTGGCACCATGATCTAACCAACTGAGCTGACCTCAGGGTCTTTGTGAAGGGCTTTTATAAATGAAGATAGTGGGAATGAGATGCCTGAACAAAGTGCTGTGGCCCGGCTCAGAGTCCTCCAGAGCCCAGGAGAATGTGTCCCTTGTGTGGGCTGTGTCATCTTCCCTTGGAAAGCTCTTCTCCAGTTCCTGGTGAGTCAGACTCCACTAGAGGGCACAGCTCATCTACCATTTAAGACAAGTCTCATTTCTGCACTGGGCATCCAGACAGACATCAGTGAGTGAAGGTGAGAGGAGATACAGACTGAGGTCTCCTGCCAGAAGTGTTTTGGGTGGTCTCCAAACAACCAGGACCTGAACCTTTGCAAGAAACACTGTTGTAATGTCAGAAAGACAGAACTTTTTTTGTATCTGTCTGCTTGCCTACTTCTTCAGCATGGGAATATCTTGCTGTCCTGAATGCTGTCAGACCCCCTTCACTGTAGAGCAGTTTGCAAATAGAGACTGTGTCTGCATCAAAACTGGATAGGTAGAGCACCTGCAGTGTCCTGCACAAAGCTGGGTGTGCACCTTGCTCAGCTGTGCTTGTGCAGTGAAGGGTTCCTCACCTGAAATAAATTTTACTGGTAAAACCTGGACACTGGTTGTTTTTCTGAGGTCCAGGGATTGCATTTCATATTATGCTTGCCTGATGTAATTATGTCATGAGAATTTGCAGGACAGGTCTGGCTACAGGAAACGTTTGGATCAAATACTCCAGTCCAGCAATGCACCATTTGAGCACCTGTAACCTTCTTGTAGACATTACTCCCCTGCTCCACCTCAGCCTTTTTCTTTCATTTTTAACTGTGAAGGAAAGGCTGGTATGTCAGTAGTGTACAGGAATGCCAGAGCAGGCCAAAATAAAACTCCTAGATGAAACACAGAAGAATAATTCCAATAATTGTGTATTTCTGCCTCTGCCTGCTATATAACTTGGGGCAGAACACCTCTCCTTCTCCCTTTCTCTGAGTAAAAGGATGCACAAAGACACAGATCTTTATGGAGCAGTTTGGGAGTTCCTAGAGGGTTCTTTTCCAGTGGTTGTGTAGCAGTTGGTTCTTCCTGACTGTGCCTGCTGTGAGGAAGCATCCACGTGAG